CATCGCATTATTAGGTCATGCTAGCAAAATCCTCTCATGAATTATCATGAAGAGGAAGTTAAATAGGGAGGACATGGGGAGAGCTCCATCTAATAGCGAAGGATAGAACGACTTGGCATGAGTTGGTTAAGGGCCTATGCTCCATTGGGGGATAGAAAGGCAGAAGAAGAAGACATCCAGAGTTAATCAACAAACCTGCAGAATATGTTGCTAGCAAACTTCCTAAAGCTGATAAATCTGACTCAACTGGTGCTTTCAGTAACATCATGAAAAGGCAACTGAAGCATGTATGAACTGGCCTTACTAATATTGAGGTTTGAGGTTTCAACAATGGATTAATATCATGGTACACGGGTAGTAACCCATAAGTGCTCCATTCTTCTTCTAGGAAGAGTCCCAGGAAGCTCAACACAGTGCACCGACTCTGTAGCACCGAGAAGGATCCTGAAATACAGTGGGTAGATTTTTAACTCCAAATTTTGCCCAGCAGGGCCGTTAGGGTGCTCTTCTTGATTTCCAACTGCCAAGGGATTTTTTACATGTGCAACAATGCACATGGGCGTCTGATCTCACTACCCAGAGACAGGGGAATTACTTGAAGTCCAAGTCCACTGAAAAAATCCCAGCCCTTACTGGAGATTGAACCCGGAACCTTTAGCACTCAAGGCAGACACCATGACTCAAGACCACACAGCCTCCGTTACTAATAATGAGAGATTAAAAACTTATGTTTATGTAGAAAACGTTTGTTAAACCTTGCTTTTTATTAGCTGCAAATATTGTTTCATGTGATGGAAGCTGTAAACAATTATCTATTTCTGATAGAACTGTGACCTCTACGAGAGATGAGCTTGTAGAAGACATAGAAAGACAAGTTACTGAAAAGGTGAAAGTGTCACCTTTTTATTTCCAATCCAATGCACTGAAACCACTGATTTCACTATTTGCTTCCAATTAACAGTATACTGTAGATTTGTGGGAAAAGGTGATATAAAAAATTAAATTCTTTTCTCCAAATCTTTACAAACATAACAAGCCTGTGATGTGTTTGTCACCGTTAATAACTGTTTCCAAGAAAAACGGCCTAAAAAGTAAAGGCCCCTTTTCCATGCCTTTAGGCGTACACCTATATTTGTATAGACCAATCGGCACAAGATGGGTGATGTGGTCAGCATCATGCCGGCCGCCTTTACTTTCCCGGAACGGCACCCGGTGGTACCCAGTCAAGGCTAGGTCGACCTGGGAGCCAAAGTCATTTTGGAAAAAAAGTCCCGCTCCACCAGGGAGTGAACCCACCACCTTCCAATCCGGGGGGTAAGTGTCTAGCCGCTCGGCCATGGCGGCTCCCGAAAACGGACTAGCATGAGAAAAGATATTGTACATTTGTACAGATGGTGCTCCAGCTAAGATAATGATAGTTTCCTCTTCTGGGTTTCTTAACTGGTTAAAGAGAAACATCCAAACATCAATGGAACTCATTGTGTGATTTACAGACAAACCCTGGCGGCCAAAACTGACGCTAGATCTGAGCCATGCAATGAAAATAGCTACACAAATGGTGTATGTTGTGAAATCAAGCGAACGGAACACAAGGCTCTTTCATGCTCTTTGTGATGACCTTGAGGCCACACATAATATTCTACCTTTCTAATACTGAGATCGGTTGGTTATCAACAGGAAATATGCTGGCTGGATTATATGAGTTAAAGTCTGAGGTTGAAGACTTTCTCATGGGTTGGAAGATTTAAAAAAAAAAAAAGATCTGTATCAGCAACTACTGAAAACTCATTTGTCTCTTCACTGGCATATCTGACTTTTGTTTTTTTGTGTGTGTTCTGTTAGCGTTGAATAACTTGTTACTTAAAAAAAGGCAACATTATTCTACCCTATGATGCAATCAGAGCTTCCATGGGGGGAAAAACACACTCAGAGGCATTAAAAAAATAATGAAACACCACTAGTCTACACAGAGGGACCTGTACAGGACAGGTCAAGGTCAGCATAGGCATCACAGCACAAAGGATGGGGAAACAATAAAAGAGGATAGTGGTGCTTTAGGGAAAACTATGCCAAGCATGATGATGGAGACAGCCGCTGCTTCTAGAGCACTAGCATTAGCAGCATTAACTCAAGAGGTCATCTCACTAACATCACTTCAGATTGAACCATCCCACTAACATGACCCCCAAGTTTGATCTCACACATGACAAGGGACAGTGATGTCCAGATGTCAGAGGTCATCTCATTAACATCACCCCAGATTGAACCGCCCACTAACATGACCCCCAAGTTTGATCTCACACATGACAAGGGACAGTGATGTCCAGATGTCAGAGGTCATCTCACTAGCATCACTTCAGATTGAACCATCCCACTAACAAGACCCCCAAGTTTGATCTCACACTTGACAAGGGACAGTGATGTCCAGATGTCAGAGGTCATCTCATTAACATCACCCCAGATTGAACCATCCCACTAACAAGACCCCCAAGTTTGATCTCACACTTGACAAGGGACAGTGATGTCCAGATGTCAGAGGTCATCTCATTAACATCACCCCAGATTGAAACCATCCACTAACAAGACCCCCAAGTTTGATCTCACACTTGACAAGGGACAGTGATGTCCAGATGTCAGAGGTCATCTCATTAACATCACCCCAGATTGAACCATCCCACTAACAAGACCCCCAAGTTTGATCTCACACATGACAAGGGACAGTGATGTCCAGATGTCAGAGGTCATCTCATTAACATCACCCCAGATTGAACCGCCCACTAACATGACTCGCAAGTTTGATCTCACACATGACAAGGGACGGTGATGTCCAGATGTCAGAGGTCATCTCACTAGCATCACTTCAGATTGAACCACCCACTAACAAGACCCCCAAGTTTGATCTCACACATTGACAAGGGACGGTGATGTCCAGATGTCAGAGGTCATCTCACTAACATCACTTCAGATTGAACCACCCACTAACAAGACCCTCAAGTTTGATCTCACACATGTCAAGGGACAGTGATGTCCAGATGTCAGAGGTCATCTCACTAACATCACCCCAGATTGAACCGCCCACTAACAAGACCCTCAAGTTAGATCTCACACATGTCAAGGGATTGTGATGTCTGGAGCAACAAAGGTAATAAAGGAAGGAAACAACTACTTTTAACACAAATGGCATATGGTGGATATGATACTCAAACTCATATTTTTATACACCAAATGGCACTTGTTGCGCGAAAGAGTCAACATTATACCGACTGCCTTTACTTCCCAGAACATTACCTGATACCCATTTTAGTATGGGTTCACTTGGCAGCTATGGTGTATTTCTTTTTAAAAAATCCATCTCAATGTGGATTCAGAGCAATGTACCAGGCACAAGAACCAAATCTTCCCTAAAAGTCTTCAGTAAAGGTGAGATCCAGCAGACAATTGACATGTCTGTCTGAGAGGACAAGACACACCATCACAGACAGACTGAAGCACAATACTCATCCCTCCCCCCCCCCCCCCCCACCCCCACCCCCCCCCCCCCCCCCCCCCCCCACCCCCCCCCCCCCCTCCGCCCCCCCCCCCCCCCCCCCCTCCCCCCCCCCCCCCCCCCCCCCCCCCCCAAACTTCCACCTAAACAAAGGCCATTAAGCAAAAAAGACAGGTGACCATATTTTATACAAAGAAGTTTGAATACAGATATATATATTAACCAGCACAAACAGATTAAAATCTACAAACACATAAGAGTATTTAAAATATTCAAATGCCATCAGATCTAACAATTATACATACAAACAAATCTGAAAGAGACAAATACAAATAAATTTGAAAGAGACAAATACCAATAGATCTTAAACAAAATCAGACAAATACAAATTCATCTGAAACAGACAAATACAAACAAAAACTAACAGACTAAATCAGAAAAACGCTAAAAGATTTGAAACAGACAAATACAAAAAGATATAAAACATTTAAACAGAAACATATTTTGAACTCAAATTTGTTAAAATGTGAGCAATATTTGTAAAAGCCAGACTGAAATAAAGGAAAGTATGTAGCTCAACTTCAGGCATTAGGAATCTCTCTTCTACACTCAAGTGTGGCACAAGAAGGGGGTACAGGGGCACCAAAACCTGGAGGGGTTGGGCGACTTTGATACTACCCAAAAATATTGGGGGAGGGGGGGACTGAAATACATTATTGTAATGCACTTAAACAAGACTTAGGCCAGGGCTTTTTTTTTCTGGAAGACAAGGTGCCAGTATTCACTCAAAATTGTCTTTAAAAAAAAGTGCTGGTCCCTAAAGTGTCTGTTACGATAGACGGAAAGAAAAATGTCGACTAAAAAAAAACTGTTCTGGTACTATGTACAGCCTGAGAAAACAATACAGGTGCTAAAGGTGCCCTGAGGCCCCCCCCCCCTCCCCCCCCCCCCCCCCCCCCCCCCCCCCCCCCTATTGACAAATCTGCAGGTTTACTGCATTTATATTAGAAGAGGAAAGTCTATGCTTGACTTGAAAGTGTTTCTACAATAAATGTAAGAGGTATGCCCGTGAATGAATAAATGAATGAATGAACGAATGAATGAATTAACAAATATATTGTATGAGAAAAAATGAATGAAGAAATAAATAAATGACTAATTGGAGACTTAAGTGAATGAATCATTGAAGAAATAAATAAAGAATCATTAAAGACAAAAATGAATGAATAATTGAAGAAATGAATATCTGAATGACTAAATGGATGGATGGATGGATGGGTTAATGAATGAATAAATGAAAGAATGAATAAATTGATAGATACATGACTGTGGCCTGTAGCAAGCCTGACAATCATGACCCAATATTCTGCTTGGATGAAACTACATGAATTACACATGGAACAACCAGCAAGTGTAGCTAGAAAATGTCTGCGAGTCTCAGGGAAGATAAGGCAGCTGTCGACTATGACTGACAAGAAGGCACCTACCTTACTGACTTGTGTGGTGCCTGCACTGCTGCTGCTGCTGCTGTCGTTGGTGCCTGTGGTGGTGCTGGAGGTGACAGACATGAGGGATCCCCTCCTTTCAAAAGCAGCCAAGCTCTCTACCCCATCTCCATCAATCTCCCTGTGAGGATAGTAATTACCAGTGTAAAACACAGACCCTTAAAACAAATAATGAGTGCACAATCATTACAAAAAGATGAGATGTATTAGAAGAGTTTGTGGAGAACCAAAAGAAGATAAAATTGAAAATGAGGAGACCAGGAGGACTGAAACCAGCTGTACAGTTCATCAACCCTTCGGCTCTGAGAACTCTAAAAAAAAAATAGTTCATGGCCAATTAGGACTCCTGGGAGAGAAAAGTAGAAACAACAAACATTTTTACATACGTCAGTTAAAAAATGTGTTTAAAATTTATTTATTTACATTTTACAATTATTATTTTTTTAAATATAAAGAAGATTTATGAAAGAAGTAATCAGTAAACATGTACGGGGTGAAGGATTCCATTTTATATATCCTTCGGGGCTTAAACAACATATACGTATTGAGCCACTCTTGTCATGACCTTTAACATAAAGGATTATGTGAAAATCTGATGACATCTTGGCTTTAAAAAAATGACATTTAGCACAAAGGAAAACTTCTCTAAGTGCTATTGTTAGATATTTTTTTAATATCTTGACCTCCAGAACATTTGTGCAGGCGTGAACTGCTGAGCCAATTGCATTAACTATACATCTCCTAAACAGGTCATGATAAGCAAGTCGGAAAAGTGACTTTATGGGAAATTGGACCCAACCAAATGTTTTTTTTTTTCTCAGGCCAAAAAGGTTAAACAGCAACAGATGAAATGGTTGGACTATCTGACATGAATGTCCTGGTACCAACTGCAACAGATAGTCATGCTGGTTAAACATAATGGATACTGAGAACAAGAAGATGATTAGAAAAGGGAACGGGGGCATCAAGAACAGCCTGAAAGAAATGAAGATCAAAATATACAACACACTGTAAAAGGCACACAGAAGATCCTGACACCAATACTTCGATAAAGTCTCCATACAAATTCAAGAAGAAGACAGCCAGGAAGCGAATATTTATTTTGAAGTCTTCCTTTTTTCTTCTACCTTTATTGTTTAAAAGGCCTTAGGTGGTGCCTTGAGGCATAGAGTGCCAGACCTATATTTTTATAGCCCAGGTGGCATTGGATGGATGATAATGTCCCAGAATGTTATCTGGTACTAATTTTAGACTTGGTCAATCTAGGAACAAGAATCAATTTTGAACAAAAAAATCCACCTCAATGAGAATTTGAATCCTTGACCGTCAGACTGGCAAGTAGGCATTTAGCCACTACACTACCAGTGCTCTCTTTTATTCATGAATAAAACAATAAGACACAAAGGCAAACAAGAAATAGGACTTTGATGATGAACTCTGACCTGCTGGCACGGCTGGGGTTGAACAACTTTGGTGGAGTCTTAAACATGGTGGCCTGCTTGTCCTTCAGGGCATCGTTGAGATACATGACCCTCTCCTGGATCAGCTCCCTCATCTTCTTCACCCACTGCTGCTTGGTGTCTAGTGATGAGGCCTGTGCAGGAGAGGAATGGACAGCATTGAGCATCACTGGAGGGGAACATTTAGTGGATCGGGAGAGTAACATTTAGTATAAATAGAGGGCAACATTTAGTCAAAATAGAGGAAAATATTTAGTCAAACTAGAAGGGAACATTTAGTAGAACTAGAGAAAAACATTAAGTCAAACTAGAGAAAAGCTGTTGGTCAAACTAGAGGGAAAATTTTTGTCAAACTAGAGGGGAACATTTAGTAGAACTGGAGAGGAACATTTAGTAGAACTGGAGGGGAACATTTAGTAGAACTAGAGGGACACATTCAGTAGAACTAGAGAGGAACATTTAGTAGAACTGGAGGGGAACATTTAGTAGAACTAGAGAGGAACATTTCATAGAACTAGAGAGGAACATTTCATAGAACTAGAGGGACACATTTAGTAGAACTAGAGGGGAACATTTTAAAGAACTAGAGGGGAACATTTAGTAGAACAATAGGGGAACAGTTCAAAGAACTAGAGGGGAACATTTAGTAGAACTAGAGGAGAACATTTCTTGGAACTAGAGGGGAACATTTTGTAGAACTAGAGGGCGACATTTAGTAGAACTAAAGAACATTTAGTAGAATTAGAGGGAAACATTTAGTAGAACTAGAGGGGAACATTTAGTAGAGCTAGAGGGAAACATTTTGTAGAACTAGAGGGGAATATTTAGTAGAACTAGAGGGGAACATTTAGTAGAACTAGAGGGGAACATTTAGCAGAACTAGAGGGCGACATTTAGTAGAACTAAAGAACATTTAGTAGAATCAGAGGGAAACATTTAGTAGAACTAGAGGGGAACATTTAGTAGAACTAGAGAAGAACATTTCTTCGAACTAGAGGGGAACATTTTGTAGAACTAGAGAGGAACATTTAGTAGAACTGGAGGGGAACATTTAGTAGAACTAGAGAGGAACATTTCATAGAACTAGAGAGGAACATTTCATAGAACTAGAGGGACACATTTAGTAGAACTAGAGGGGAACATTTTAAAGAACTAGAGGGGAACATTTAGTAGAACAATAGGGGAACAGTTCAAAGAACTAGAGGGGAACATTTAGTAGAACTAGAGGAGAACATTTCTTGGAACTAGAGGGGAACATTTTGTAGAACTAGAGGGCGACATTTAGTAGAACTAAAGAACATTTAGTAGAATTAGAGGGAAACATTTAGTAGAACTAGAGGGGAACATTTAGTAGAGCTAGAGGGAAACATTTTGTAGAACTAGAGGGGAATATTTAGTAGAACTAGAGGGGAACATTTAGTAGAACTAGAGGGGAACATTTAGCAGAACTAGAGGGCGACATTTAGTAGAACTAAAGAACATTTAGTAGAATCAGAGGGAAACATTTAGTAGAACTAGAGGGGAACATTTAGTAGAACTAGAGAAGAACATTTCTTCGAACTAGAGGGGAACATTTTGTAGAACTAGAGGGCGACATTTAGTAGAACTAAAGAACATTTAGTAGAATTAGAGGGAAACATTTAGTAGAACTAGAGGGGAACATTTAGTAGAACTAGAGGGAAACATTTTGTAGAACTAGAGGGGAATATTTAGTAGAACTAGAGGGGAACATTTAGTAGAACTAGAGGGGAACATTTAGCAGAACTAGAGGGCGACATTTAGTAGAACTAAAGAACATTTAGTAGAATCAGAGGGAAACATTTAGTAGAACTAGAGGGGAACATTTAGTAGAACTAGACGGAAACATTTTGTAGAACTAGAGGGGAATATTTAGTAGAACTAGAGGGGAACATTTAGTAGAACTAGAGGGGAACATTTAGCAGAACTAGAGGGCGACATTTAGTAGAACTAAAGAACATTTAGTAGAATCAGAGGGAAACATTTAGTAGAACTAGAGGGGAACATTTAGTAGAACTAGACGGAAACATTTTGTAGAACTAGAGGGGAATATTTAGTAGAACTAGAGGGGAACATTTAGCAGAACTAGAGGGAAACATTTTGTAGAACTAGAGGAGAACATTTAGTAGAACTAGAGGGAAACATTTAGTAGAACTAGAGGGAAACATTTAGTAGAACTAGAGGGGAACATTTAGTAGAACTAGAGGGCGACATTTAGTAGAACTCGAGGGGAACATTTAGTAGAACTAGAGGAGAACATTTCTTCGAACTAGAGGGGAACATTTTGTAGAACTAGAGGGCGACATTTAGTAGAACTAAAGAACATTTAGTAGAATTAGAGGGAAACATTTAGTAGAACTAGAGGGGAACATTTAGTAGAACTAGAGGGAAACATTTTGTAGAACTAGAGGGGAATATTTAGTAGAACTAGAGGGGAACATTTAGTAGAACTAGAGGGGAACATTTAGCAGAACTAGAGGGCGACATTTAATAGAACTAAAGAACATTTAGTAGAATCAGAGGGAAACATTTAGTAGAACTAGAGGGGAACATTTAGCAGAACTAGAGGGAAACATTTTGTAGAACTAGAGGAGAACATTTAGTAGAACTAGAGGGAAACATTTAGTAGAACTAGAGGGGAACATTTAGTAGAACTAGAGGGGAACATTTAGTAAAACTAGAGGGGAATATTTAGTAGAACTAAAGAACATTTAGTAGAACTAGAGGGGAACATTTAGTAGAAGTAGAGGGAACCATTTAGTAAAACTAGAGGGAAATATTTAGTAGAACTAGAGGGAAACATTTAGTAAAACTAGAGGGGAACATTTAGTAGAACTAAAGAACATTTAGTAGAATTAGAGAGAAACATTTAGTAGAACTAGAGCGAAACATTTAGTAGAACTAGAGGGAAACATTTAGTAGAACTAAAGAATATTTAGTAGAACTAAAGAACATTTAGTAGAATTAGAGGGAAACATTTAGCAGAACTAGAGGGGAACATTTAGTAGAACTAGAGGGAAACATTAAGTAGAACTAGAGGGGAATATTTAGTAGAACTAAAGAACATTTAGTAGAACTAAAGAAAGTTTAGTAGAAGTAGAGGGAAACATTTAGTAAAACTAGAGGGAAATATTTAGTAGAACTAGAGGGGAACATTTAGTAAAACTAGAGGGGAATTTTCAGTACAACTAAAAAAATTTAAGTATAATTAGAGGGAAACATTTAGTAGAACTAGAGGGGAACATTTCGTAGAACTAGAGGGCGACATTTAGTAGAACTAGAGGGGAACATTTAGCAGAACTAGAGGGCAACATTTAGTGGAACTAAAGAACATTTAGTAGAATCAGAGGGAAACATTTAGTAGAACTAGAGGGGAACATTTAGTAGAATTAGAGGGAAACATTTAGCAGAACTGAAGGTGAACATTTAGTTGAACATCAGGGGAATATTTAGTGGAACTAGAGAGAAACATTTAGTAGAAGTGTGGGGAGGGGGAGTATTTACTAAATATGAAGAAGAACATTCAGTGGAACTGGAGGGTTGATTGAACATGAAGTGATGGTGCTGACTCTAGGATGGTCCTATCATCTGTTAGGCAACGATGCAGTCAAGGATGATTCTGCAATCTGATATTTGGTGAAGAAGTCTGGTCAAGGATGATCCCAAAATCTAATATTAAATGACAAGGTTTACTTTGAAGATGATTCAATAATATAAAATTAAGTGACCAGGTTTACTTAAAGGATCTTCTTCTTCTTCGCGTTCACCAGCTGTACACTCTGGCGGAAAGTTCTGGTTGCTCGTCCACTTCTGAACTGCAGTCCTGCTCCAGAACCTGAGTGTTGCATGTGCATCAGTTCTACAGATTCTCTTGAATACAGGCTGTTGGTTCCTTGCCTCTCCGGCAGATGCACTCCAACTTCAAAGGAAGCTCCCCAATTAGTCGACTATTACGACATGCTTTTGGGGAGGCAGTGGGTCTATTCTTGTTTTCCCCACAATGGGGCCCCGGAACCTACACGGGGGGACTTAAAGGATGATTATGTTTTCTAAATTTAAGTGACAACACTTACCTTAAGGATGATTCTGTAATCTGATATAGGCGCTCTACCAGTCCACAGGGCAAACTTTGTCTCGTCTCCTTCTATGTGTTCTGTCACATTGATTTCTGAGATCTGTCGGGAGTAGAAACATCAACAAGTAGCAAAGAATTCCTCCACACACTGCCACATGAATACATAGAAAATTGGACTATCACTACAGTATGATGAAGTCTTGATCAGGTTTATGTTTATTTACGAATCGACATCACAGCACTCACGATATTCCCATAAGCAATCCATCCTTATCTTCAGCAGCAAACGCAGAGTTCCAATTCCAGTGGTAACAATTCCAGTCTGATTGTATATCCGCCTCACCTTTTCCCTGAGTGCTGATTGTCGACCAGATTCCCTGGTCACGACTCGCAGTGCCATTCTCCTCAGACCATGATCCATCTATGCTTCTGCACTGTTCACACGCCCTTAGAGGGCCCGGTCACTACTTACAGTACCATTCTCCTCAGACCATGATCTATCTATACTTCTGCACTGTTCACACGCCCTTAGAGGGCCCTGCCACTACTTACAGTACCATTCTCCTCAGACCATGATCTATCTATACTTCTGCACTGTTCACACGCCCTTAGAGGGCCCTGTCACTACTTACAGTACCATTCTCCTCAGACCATGATCTATCTATACTTCTGCACTGTTCACACGCCCTTAGAGGGCCCTGTCACTACTTACAGTACCATTCTCCTCAGACCATGATCTATCTATACTTCTGCACTGTTCACACGCCCTTAGAGGGCCCTGTCACTACTTACAGTACCATTCTCCTCAGACCATGATCTATCTATACTTCTGCACTGTTCACACGCCCTTAGAGGGCCCGGTCACTACTTACAGTACCATTCTCCTCAGACCATGATCTATCTATACTTCTGCACTGTTTCACAGCAGGGGGCCCTGCGGTGTGTGTCACTAACGCCCTTAGAGGGCCCTGCCACTACTTACTACTTACAGTACCATTCTCCTCAGACCATGATCTATCTATACTTCTGCACTGTTTCACACGCCCTTAGAGGGCCCTGCACTACTTACAGTACCATTCTCTCCTCAGACCATGATCTATCTATACTTCTGCACTGTTCACACGCCCTTAGAGGGCCCTGCCACTACTTACAGTACCATTCTCCTCAGACCATGATCTATCTATACTTCTGCATTGTTCACACACCCTTAGAGGGCCCTGTCACTACTTACAGTACCATTCTCCTCAGACCATGATCTATCTATACTTCTGCACTGTTCACACGCCCTTAGAGGGCCCTGTCACTACTTACAGTACCATTCTCCTCAGACCATGATCTATCTATACTTCTGCACTGTTCACACGCCCTTAGAGGGCCCGGTCACTACTTACAGTACCATTCTCCTCAGACCATGATCTATCTATACTTCTGCACTGTTCACACGCCCTTAGAGGGCCCGGTCACTACTTACAGTACCATTCTCCTCAGACCATGATCTATCTATACTTCTGCACTGTTCACACGCCCTTAGAGGGCCCGGTCACTACTTACAGTACCATTCTCCTCAGACCATGATCTATCTATACTTCTGCACTGTTCACACGCCCTTAGAGGGCCCGGTCACTACTTACAGTACCATTCTCCTCAGACCATGATCTATCTATACTTCTGCACTGTTCACACGCCCTTAGAGGGCCCGGTCACTACTTACAGTACCATTCTCCTCAGACCATGATCTATCTATACTTCTGCACTGTTCACACGCCCTTAGAGGGCCCTGTCACTACTTACAGTACCATTCTCTGAGACCATGATCTATCTATACTTCTGCACTGTTCACACGCCCCTAGAGAGGGCCCTGTCACTTACTTACAGTACCATTCTCCTCAGACATGATCTATCTATACTTCTGCACTGTTCACACGCCCTTAGAGGGCACTGTCACTACTTACAGTACCATTCTCCTCAGACCATGATCTATCTATACTTCTGCACTGTTCACACGCCCTTAGAGGGCCCTGTCACTACTTACAGTACCATTCTCCTCAGACCATGATCTATCTATACTTCTGCACTGTTCACACGCCCTTAGAGGGCCCGGTCACTACTTACAGTACCATTCTCCTCAGACCATGATCTATCTATACTTCTGCACTGTTCACACGCCCTTAGAGGGCCCCGGTCACTACTTACAGTACCATTCTCCTCAGACCATGATCTATCTATACTTCTGCACTGTTCACACGCCTTAGAGGGCCCGGTCACTACTTACAGTACCATTCTCCTCAGACCATGATCTATCTATACTTCTGCACTGTTCACACGCCCTTAGAGGGCCCGGTCCACTACTTACAGTACCATTCTCCTCAGACCATGATCTATCTATACTTCTGCACTGTTCACACGCCCTTAGAGGGCCCGTACGTACACTACTTACAGTACCATTCTCCTCAGACCATGATCTATCTATACTTCTGCGGCACTGTTCACACGCCCTTAGAGGGCCCGGTCACTACTTACAGTACCATTCTCCTCAGTACCATGATCTATCTATACTTCTGCACTGTTCACAACGCCGCCTTAGAGGGCCCGGTCACTACTTACAGTACCATTCTCCTCAGAGTCATGATCTATCTATACTTCTGCACTGTTCACACACCCCTTAGAGGGCCATGTCACTACTTTACAGTACCATTCTCCTCAGACCATGATCTATCTATACTTCTGCACTGTTCACCCACGCCCTAGAGGGCCCTGTCACTACTTACAGTGCCATTCTCCTCAGACCATGATCTATCTATACTTCTGCACTGTTCACTCACCCCTTAGAGGGCCATGTCACTACTTACAGTGCCATTCTCCTCAGACCATGATCTATCTATACTTCTGCACTTGTTCACTCACCCTTAGAGGGCCCTGTCACTACTTACAGTGCCATTCTCCTCAGACCATGATCTATCTATACTTCTGCACTGTTCACTCACCCTTAGAGGGCCCTGTCACTACTTACAGTACCATTCTCCTCAGACCATGATCTATCTATACTTCTGCACTGTTCACTCACGCCCTTAGAGGGGCCTGTCACTACTTACAGTGCCATTCTCCTCAGACCATGATCTATCTATACTTCTGCACTGTTCACTCACCCCTTAGAGGGCCCTGTCACTACTTACAGTACCATTCTCCTCAGACCATGATCTATCTATACTTCTGCACTGTTCACACGCCCTTAGAGGGCCCTGTCACTACTTACAGTGCCATTCTCCTCAGACCATGATCTATCTATACTTCTGCACTGTTCACTCACCCTTAGAGGGCCCTGTCACTACTTACAGTGCCATTCTCCTCAGACCATGATCTATCTATACTTCTGCACTGTTCACTCACCCTTAGAGGGCCCTGTCACTACTTTACAGTGCCATTCTCTCAGACCATGATCTATCTATACTTCTGCACTGTTCACTCACCCTTAGAGGGCCCTGTCACTACTTACAGTACCATTCTCCTCAGACCATGATCTATCTATACTTCTGCACTGTTCACACGCCCCTTAGAGGGCCCTGTCACTACTTACAGTGCCATTCTCCTCAGACCATGATCTATCTATACTTCTGCACTGTTCACACCACCCTTAGAGGGCCCTGAGGGCACTACTTACAGTGCCATTCTCCTCAGACCATGATCTATCTATACTTCTGCACTGTTCACTCACCCTTAGAGGGCCCTGTCACTACTTACAGTGCCATTCTCCTCAGACCATGATCTATCTATACTTTCTGCACTGTTTTCACTCACCCTTAGAGGGCCCTGTCACTACTTACAGTGCCATTCTCCTCAGACCATGATCTAACTCTATACTTTCTGCACACTGTTCACTCACCCTTAGAGGGCCCTGTCACTACTTACAGTGCCATTCTCCTCAGACCATGATCTATCTATACTTCTGCACTGTTCACTCACCTTCACCCTTAGAGGGCCCTGTCACTACTTACAGTACCATTCTCCTCCTCAGACCATGATCTATCTATACTTCTGCACTGTTCACACGTCCTTAGAGGGCCCTGTCACTACTTACAGTGCCATTCTCCTCAGACCATGATCTATCTATACTTCTGCACTGTTCACACGCCCTTAGAGGGCCCTGCCACTACTTACAGTACCATTCTCCTCAGACCATGATCTATCTATACTTCTCTGCACTGTTCACACGCCCTAGAGGGCCCTGTCACTACTTACAGTGCCATTCTCCTCAGACCATGATCTATCTATACTTCTGCACTGTTCACACGCCCTTAGAGGGCCCTGCCACTACTTACAGTACCATTCTCCTCAGACCATGATCTATCTATACTTCTGCACTGTTCACTCACCCTTAGAGGGCCCTGTCACTACTTACAATGCCATTCTCCTCAGACCATGATCTATCTATACTTCTGCACTGTTCACTCACCCTTAGAGGGCCCTGTCACTACTTACAGTGCCATTCTCCTGAGACCATGATCTATCTATACTTCTGCACTGTTCACTCACCCTTAGAGGGCCCTGTCACTACTTACAGTGCCATTCTCCTCAGACCATGATCTATCTATACTTCTGCACTGTTCACTCACCCTTAGAGGGCCCTGTCACTACTTACAGTGCCATTCTCCTCAGACCATGATCTATCTATACTTCTGCACTGTTCACTCACCCTTAGAGGGCCCTGTCACTACTTACAGTACCATTCTCCTCAGACCATGATCTATCTATACTTCTGCACTGTTCACACGCCCTTAGAGGGCCCTGTCACTACTTACAGTGCCATTCTCCTCAGACCATGATCTATCTATACTTCTGCACTGTTCACACGCCCTTAGAGGGCCCTGCCACTACTTACAGTACCATTCTCCTCAGACCATGATCTATCTATACTTCTGCACTGTTCACACGCCCTTAGAGGGCCCTAACAACATCTAGCTTGTCCTGCATCAATTCACCACTACGTTGTGCAGAACCAGTCTATCTGCCTGATCTGTTTTTGATACACTGACATCTTCTGGGCAAAATATCCAAAGGACTCTAACTATCCGAGACCTCTGAAGAAATGCTTGCCACTCTTCATAAAGCATACTGGCCTCCACTTTTCTCAACGCGCTCTGTCTGTGAGTCGGTTTCAATTATCACAATGTGCGTACAACTGATTCTCAAGCCAGTGAAAGTCTGCAGTGAATCCCTCCACCTCGATTCTCAAACTAGGTGCTGTAGTGTCATATACCAGGCTTTGTTGCACTAAATGATGTCCATTTACTTTTGCTAAGAAACCCCCATGAGCTTCGTCTGCCTCTCAACACAGAGCCGTCTGTATAGAATATCACATCACTTGGGCAAGAACTGTCATGAATCATTTGTCCAACTTCTGATTCTGCAGCACCAGCTGGCCAGTCGCTTCATTCATGGGCCCAGTGTGATCAGAATCCTACACAAGTCTGACTTTTGCTGGCACATTCTAACCCACCCTTCTCCTCGCCCAATGTCACTGAGCCAACATACATGTCCAATTGTGTCTTCAGCTTGTGCCATCTAAGACCTTCCCCTTTTCAGTCTGTGACTCTTAGCTCTGTTTAGGGTTTCATGCAGGAGGTGTTTCAAACATACTGCTGTCACCTTTTCTCTTGAGTAAACAATGCAGGCAGAGCTAGCTAAATTATGTTCAACCAAGTGAACAGATGTTAGTTAAAAAATGTTTCAATAAGTAAACAGCTAAATATTATTTAACTAGAAAGGTAGTGCCTCACCATAAGTTTGAACTTGTATATATATTTGGATTTCCCGTTACTGTCCTTCACCTCCTTGGAGAAAACCAGGCAGACGTCAAACAAAAACAAATGGCGGTCACGACCTTTCTTAATGATCTGTTTAGGATCCCAGACGGTGAAGTTGTCCTGCAGAAGGACCTCACCGTAAGCTTGCAGACTGTCCTCAAGTCCCTCTAACATACTCAAATGCATGGCATCATTAGCTTTCTTCGGGACATTCATCATCACCTCCAGGGCTTCCTGCGGAAATCCAACATAAACAAGAAAATCTACATGCCCCATCCAACATGGACCACAATTATACTTCTAAGTCAGTTATGAGAAAAACCGCAACACTTGTCAGACAAAGAAAAATATCTACATTACAAGGTCGATGTAGAATTGATCGACTTTCATGAAAAATATTTACAATGCAAGGTCAGTAGGGTAAATTCTAGTATCTGAACATCTAAACTTGAATCCCCTCTAATCAAGACCTAAACTTTATTCCCAACAATTGAAAAACATCTAAACTTCTTTGTAAACTTCAATCTCAATATGTGAATGTCTGAACTTCAAATGCAACATGTAAAAAAAAAACATCTAAACTTCATTTCTAATGAACAACACCCAAACTTAAATCTCATTAATGAATTATATCCTAACTTCAATCATGATACCAAAACATCTGAACTTTAGTTCCAACACATTAACCACATTAAACAGGTAGATAGACAGGTGTAACAATGCGGTTTTCTAGACATACAGAGCCTAATGCCCCTCAGGGTTATGGAACAACCGCAAATATATCTAAGTGGCAGAGAAAGCACTGAGTGGGAAGCAGTGAGTTCTAGAATAACAGCAGCAAGATTTAGAAACAAACCAAACAAGAAAAGTAAACAAGAATATGATCAAGCATTATCCACCAACAAATGAAAAAGCCAAATTTTTTCAGGGAACATAGCAGTTCTACTTTCTGTTAACATTCTCAAAGTTCCTTGTGTTACAAAATCCTTTGATATTTCAACAACAACAACAAATTTGTGTTTTGTTTTATATTCTTATTTGTAATCTTACATGCTTTCTTCATATTTTTGCATTGCTTGTATGACTCCACATTCTGAAGTAGGATTTCACATACTTATTTCTTCTTCTTCTTTGCGTTCACCAGCTGTAAACTCTGGCAGAAGGTTCTGGTTGCTCGTCCACTACTGAACTGCAGTCATGCTCCAGAACCTGAGTGTTGCGTGTGCATCAGTTTTACAGATCTCATTCTCTTGAATACAGACTGTTGGTTCCTTGCCTCTCCGGCAGATGCACTCCGACTTCAAAGGAAGCTCCCCAATTAGTCGACTCTTACGACATGCTTTTGGGGAGGCAGTGGATCTATTCTTGTTTTCCCCACAAAAGGGGCCCTGGAGCCCACACGAGCGACATACTTATTTGAGTTGGAGTGCATCAGCCTGAAAGGCCAGGAACCAACAGTCCGTACAAAGATAAGTCATATCTGCAAAAACAGATGTGCCAGCTTCAGTCAAGTTCTGGAAAAAGATGAGTCCAGAAGTGGATGTACCAGAACTTTCTGCTGGAATTTACAGCTGGTGATGACGATGGTGATGAAGAAGAAGAAGAAAAAGGAGAAGAAAAAGAAGAAGAAGAAGAAGAAGAAGAAGAAGAGGAAGAAGAAGAAGAGGAAGAAGAAGAAGAGGAGGAGGAGGAAAAAGAGGAGTTACTGCTAGTTTATACATTTAAATACAGTGTATATCCACAAAAGTCTAAAGTCCATTTAAAATATAATCTAGTAGGCGACTGTTGGTGTAGGCACATCTGACGGCTGCATTATGAATTTACTGTGTGTGCCTGTGAGACAAGGCTTCCAGATTTGCTGCGACTGTTACGTTTTTCACTAGTTTTTCACATGGAACATTGAATGACATTTTGTGTGATTTCCACAGGCACACAGATGGAGCTTTTATGGGGTGACTCATCTGTAGTAAAGTCGGAACCTTAACTAACAACTAGCTAATCCAGGATCAGGTTAGCACTCTTGCCCCACCCCCGTTCATATGGTCAAGCCATCAAGGTATTTATCTCTTTACCTTCTCCATGTTGTTTTCTTGTAAATATCAAAGCCTAGCTGTAAACCACAACACAATATGCCAACTGCCATGTTAAGGGCAAGCACAAAAGAAGAAAAGGATGGTCATTAACCTGGAGAATAAAGTATCACCTTACCTTGATCTCACCTGTATGTTCTTCACAACAGGTGAGCAAATCCTTGAGCAGTAGTTGATACTTGGTCACCCTCTGAACCGGCTTGATCAGGTAGGAGGCAATAGGCTCATTCAGTTTACTCTTGTGCTGCATCTCCTGCAGGCAGTAGGTTCATACAAACATTGGTAGCAACTGCCGCAGTGTGTCAACTCAAACAGCATACAAACCAGTGCCCATTACACATCATACAGACAAGTATCCATTACCATTTTACCTATAACACCCTTTAGGGAGTTAAGCTGAGAAAACAGCTCAGAACCCAGAAATGCCCACAAAACAATCCTAAACTCTTGACTTTGAGTCCCAAGGAACGCATCATACGTTCATAGGTTCCCACCTAGAATACCAATGAACGCAAAATACGCCAATTTTACATCTCTCTTGACTACCCCTTGGGCCTGTGATTCTAAACCCCCCTGGGACTCAAAGAGTTAAAAAAACACATTACTAATTTATTTTTATTTTTTTTATTTTTTTTGGGGGGGAGGGGTAATAGACGTATTTAAAAAGAAACAATCAATAAACATGACCTCAGCAGACAAATTTATCCTTGACACACCCTAAGCACAATTACTAAAGGCTAAAGAGAATTAAGACATCAGAATTACAATAAACCCCCCCCCCCCCCCCCCCCCCCCCCCCCCCCCCCCCCCCCTCAATACTATTTTCAGTGAAAATAACTGTATCCAACCCTATTAAACCTTGCACAGGCCCAAACAGAACCAATGCTGATAACAAGGATTGGCAGAACTAGCTAAAGCAGAAATGCACTGGCCAGTTAATGGCACAGGTGCTAGTTTAATGGCGATTTGATGATGGTGCCAAACAGGTGTCCATCACATAATTGGTCGTAACCATTTTCGGGAACTTCGCGACGCACACACAGTCCTCCTTTTGAACAGTGTAGAAGAACAGAAAATTTAACCATTTCTGTCTAAAAGCACAGTGAAGATCAAAACCTATTATCGAATTTAAAGAAAATGAAAATAATGTCCACAGAAAAAAAACTGGCTGTCACCCAAAAATAACAATAAATGATGAAGAAATTTAAAATATCACACATGTTGAATAATCTAGGCTTTATAATAAACAGCAATGGAGACTGACTGAAATCAAAAGGAGGATAGCCATAGCAATGCAAAGATTGAACATCATTAAAAGTCTTTAGTTAAGCACCAGCAAGGAAATCCCAAATACAATTTTGAGAGAATGCATCTTCCCTATAGCAACATATGGATATGAGTTGTGGACTATCTCCCAGTCCTTGAGAAAAAAAATAGAGCCTTTTAAGCTGAAATGCTATAGAAAGATTCTCAGAATATCATGGACAAAGAAGAGGAGAAATACTGACATCTTGAAAGATCTGAACATCCAGGAAGATTGGCTAATAAACAGCATCCTGTCTCGGAAGCTGAAATATTTTGGTCGTATCAAGCGCCATGGCAGATTGGAAAAAATAACAGACATGGTGCTAGGAAAGAGAGGCTGACCAATATAAAGGTGGCACAGGATATAAGAGACTCTTTGAATATGTAAGTACATGAGGCAAAAGAGCTTGTGAGAGACCAGCATTCGGTGTGTGATGTGGTCAACTCATGCTAGGCGCCTTTATTTCCCAGGACTTTACCTCGCACCCATTTAAAGCTGGGTCGACCTAGGAGCCAAGACCATTGTTAAAAATAGTTCAGCTTTGTCGCAACCAGAACCCACATCTTCAGATCCGCAAGCCAGCATCTAGACGCTACACCTTGATGGCCGAAATACCTTAGTTTTCAGAAAAGGATGCTGTTTATTAACTAATTATCCTCGAGTGTTCACTTTCTATAACAAAATATGGCGCTAGCTTAATATGCCCGAAGTGCCATCGGTAGATAAAAAAGTCCTTTACCATATATTTGTCTCTGCCTCACAAATATGCACACACTTCAATAGTCTGCTCTGTGGACAGTATAACCAATGTTGTCCATATCTTCTAAAAAACTAAGCACTTGTTAAACTGCCCAGGCTAAAGAAAATACTGACCTCAAAGAAGCATCCAGCTTGTTCTACCAACAGGGCATTGGAGTCTGGTTTGTTCTTGCAGTAAGTCACATAGATGGAGAATTTCTCTGCCTGAAACACATTCACTTCAAGTATCAAGTATTGTGTAGATGGTACATATACATGTGTATACACATATACATATACCTTCACACACACAAATGTACTATCTACACATCTGGATTTTTATACACGTCCACCACTTTACTTTCCTTGACATTCCCTGGTGACCATTTGAGACTGGCTCAGCCTAGCAGCACTGTAACATTTTATTCGCTAGCACCTTCTTGTCTTTCCAGACGACAGTGTTACAGTGCTCTAGGGAGGCACTGATACGACAGCCGGTGGTGATGGCCGGTGTCACTAGAAAGACCCGCCTGCCGTTAGAAAAGTCTTTACCAATTAAAGCACAGAATTTCAGTACCTCTGTGTAGCACAAAGTCTGAGAGGTATTGTAGGGACTATGTGTTGCCCACACAGCAAGATCCTTATCGCAGCCTACCTTGTTTACTTCAAAGGAAAGATAACACTAATATGTTTGGAGCAAAGTATGCTGCAGAAGCTGCTAGAGAAGTGCTCTGTCCGCCAGTTGGAGCTTCCCTCCCTAGACCAGCTGCCAACCAAATCTAAGGGATGGATTGGTTTGATTTGATGTGATTCAAGAACCAACATCACAGCACTCGGGGCATTTCCATAAGAGCTCCGTCCCCATCTTCAGCAGCCAGCGAAGAGTTCTAATACTAATAGTGCCAGTAGCATTATGATTAAACGTCCGTCTTGCCTTTCCTCTGAGCCTCGAGCATCTGCCAGAACCTCTCGTCACACCCCACTGCATCAATCTCACCAGACTGTGGTGATCCATCTGCTCCTCCGAACTGTACACGCTCTCCCACAAGGCACTAACCACGTCTGCCTCATCATGCATCAGTATTCCACCAAGTTGTGCAGAGCCAGCCAGTCTGTCCGCCTGTTCAGGGCTGGATCTGGCCTGCTATAACAGGAAGTTTTCAGGCTGCATTTCCTCTTCCCAAGATAAGGCTAGTATCCTCCACTATGTGCCACGAGTACATACACAAGCAAGTATACAACAGCTGCACATACCCAGGTAACAAAACAGTGTCCTACGTCTTCAGGGATGGTTTCATATTTCTCCAGTTCTTTGAGGAAGACACTGAAAGATAAAACAACATACGCTGGTATCAGTTGACTTCACTTTCACAGACGATACAGAAAATTATGTCAGGCAACAAACTGTGCAATTTACTGATTGTACTCTCATTATTTACATTTGTTTCAGGAAAGCATTGTTCTGAAACAGTTAACACATGCACACACAGAAGCACCATACCCACCCACAGCAGGACAGTGGGTTATTTCACAACCAGAGGAGGCCCCCAGTATACCGTATTTTACATGTATAAAACGACATGTGCTGCCAAATTTTTAAGTTTAAAACTTTGGGGGTGGGGGGTCTCGTCTTATATATGGAATATGTTTAAAATATTTATTTCTGAATTCTCAGCCAAGAAATGTGGGGTATTTTAAAATGGGAGTGGTAACTGTTTCATATTGTTAAACAGGGTTTAACCTGGCCATGATGAGAGTGAAATTCCCTCAAGGACCCGATGATTGAGGATGATGAATTCATTATCCTATTGTGCATCTAAAAGTCTCATGGGGCTAGTGGTGAATTTCTCCATTCTATTCTCTCTTGTGACACATTTTTGTATCATGAATGGGATCTAGTCCTTGCACCCATAGCCTCTCTGTTCAATACTCATTGTCCCTGCTTCCATTCATCATCATCATCATCACCATGAACCACTTCTGCTCTTAAGTGTCGTGGGGAGGAATAATTTGCGATCCAGTGCACATTGGCTGCCACTGGCTATTGTCATGCCGTGAAGGCGTAGAGTGTCTTTAATGTTGTCGATCCATGTTTTCCAAGGCCGTCCTCTTGCTCTTGTAGTTGATCTTCTGAGATGTAGTTCTTGTAATGGTATTTGATCTTGCTGCATTCTAACGAGATGGCCAAACCTCTTGATCTGCTATTTCTCAATGAATCTAGTACAAGGTGTCGTTCCCACAATTTGCCTGATAGTTTCATTATTCACTCGACCTCGGATGGTTAGGTTGGCTGCTTTTCTCAGGCACCTCATCTTGCAGGTAGTGATTTTGCATATATGGGCTTTAGACAGTGTCCATTTGCTTCCATTATCTCCCCCAAATTACTGGCATTATTAAGCCTAACAAATGGCAATGGTTAAGGCACACAGACTGGCAGATAACAGTGAAAACAAAACCACGCACAATGGAGAAGTGCTGAATGGGTGCAGACCCCAAGGCAGTAGAGTGAAAATATACAGGCAGAGGCAAACAAACTTGGAGACACCAACAGGAAAGAGAATGCCAGTCACAGAGATGAATGGAGTTAGGTTATATCTGCAACAAATGAAGCTCAAGGGCTCTGAATGCTGAAGAAAAAGCTTCTAGTTTGGACAGGTCTGGCTGGAAAACTGTTGTTACTCTTGCAGTATAATATCCCTGTCAACATAACGGGTTGATACACACAGATGACAACAGCCAATATCAGTAACATTGCAGAAGTTACCAAAACAATGGGGAGATCTACTGTGACCTAAACAGCCAATATCAGTAACATTGCAGAAGTTACCAAAACAATGGGGAGACCTAAGTGACAACAGCCAATATCAGTAACATTGCAGAAGTTACCTAAACATAACAGTATCAATAACTGTAGTGAGTCATTTTCTCCTCATTAATTTATGCCCTATAGATGATGTCAGTAATAGATGTAAGACGAATGTTTTGACTGGCTGAGATAACACGAGATTTATGTCTTGAGTTTCATGAGAGACATCTGAAAGTCAGGTTTTATGTGAAACATGATTGTTCACAGGATTTGTGTGAAATGTGAATTTATCACGGGCCAGACACGACTTTCAACAGTGGGAAATTCGTGAGAATGAATCCAGAATATTCTAGAACAGGATAGATCAGAGGGCTATATAATAGCGAAGAAAAGGTTTGTGGGCAGTCGCGTTTTGGACCCAGGAACAGTGTGCATGGACAGCGGTGGATGATGTGTGAATTCAGCAGATGTTTTTGAGTGAATTTGTTCCAGTCCAACTTGGCGAAGAAAGCTGGCCAGTAATATGTCTGCCGGTCGTCTGCGTGTATCTGTCAGGACAGCTGTGGTGTTTCGTTTACGATGTTAGTGTAAATCGATTGTGATTTCTGCTTGAAGGTAGTATTGGATACTTGCATTGTAATGTGTGCCTGGACAGTTGTCTAGTTCATGTGCCGGCTGTGTAAGTCGCGAGTGGAAGATTAAAGTACTGGACCAATATCGTGTTGTTTTTCCAGTCGTCCATTTTTTCTGCTCGTCGTGTGATGTCGGTTTTGTGAGATGGCAGCGAGCGTGCGATGAGGCGAGCCAGTAGAAGATAAAAGAGAATCAACGCAAGATGGGGGCTCGTCCAAACATTTGAGGATAGGAAAGTTGTTTCGAACAGAAATCTGAGACATCGAAAGGTGTTTAGTTATCAACCTGACGTCAGGTAGTACCAGTTCAACATACGAACGTAAGCGGGGAAGATCGATGGCGAAATAACAACAACCCATATTCGATAGTTCACAGATTGAACAACGTTCGGACAAATTCCAGACTTTGAATACTGATAGACAAGTCCACGTTTTAAGTTTCGACCAAGTAATCAACAATCAACTAAGATGCGAAGGAAAGATTGCAGACAGTGACGGTGTCAAAGAGCATTCATTGATTGTAGCAAAGGAATACAACCGTAAGTCTACACAGAGATGATGTGAGACTAGGACTGCCCTCTGCAAAACTTCCAAAGCCTTGTTGTTTGATCAAATTTTGCTGCCGACTAAAGTGTGGTAAAGTGTAGTGGGAAATCTACACTGAACAACACAGAGAAGAGTCGACACCAGATCCTGTTTTTCGGATCTGTTTTTTTCAAAACATAGAAAGACAGTGAAACACCGGGTAGAGTGTTAACTGTACAGAAAGCAAAAGAACCACAGCTCTGACACTGGGTGTTGTGTCGCAGCTCTACATTTTCAGCCGTGGCAAACAATTTAATAGGAAAACTACAGTATGACAAGTCTACAAAACCTCAAGATCAGCACTCATTGATGTCTCGTGATCAATAATGCTTCAAGTTCATCGTGTAATCACACATATCACAAGGAGTTACCAAAACAATGGGGAGATCAACAGTAGACCCAAGTTACAACAGCCAGTATCAGTAACATTGCAGGAGTTACCAAAACAATGGGGAGATCAACTGTAGACCTAAGTGACAACAGCCAGTATCAGTAACATTGCAGGAGTTACCAAAACAATGGGGAGATCAACTGTAGACCTAACTAAGGGACAACAGCCAGTATCAATAACATCGCAGGAGTTACCAAAACAATGGGGAGATCAACAGTAGACCTAAGGGACTTCACCTTCTGACTTTTTTCCAGGTTTTACTGCAGAAGATTAGTTAATCAGTTTAGTTCATTAGATGGATCAACATCATGGCACACGGGTGTAGCCCATAAGTGCTCTGTTCTATTTCTAACTCAAGCCTGAGTCTGAAGAATCTCAGTGCAGTGCAGAAACTTTTTTAACTCAAAATTTTGCTCGGACAGCGCCGTTAGGCTACACTTTTCGATTTCCAACTGCCAAGGGATTTTTATATGTACCCAAAAACACACACGGGCGTACGATCTTCCCAGCCAGGGACCAGGGAAAATTAGTAGAAGTCGACGTGAAAAAATCCTAGCCTTCACCGGGGCTGGAACCCGGGACCTCCAGCACTCAAGGTGGAGATCATATCTTCAGACCACTGCAGAAGACTTTTTTTTCCTAATATGCTTCCTGTAGAGCAGCAAGGAATTTGATATTCTCCCAGTGGCTATTAGCCAAGGATGACCAGTCCTATCAACTTGAAAATTAATAACTGAAGCAGCAGGGACTAACCTCTTGCCTTTTCTCCAGTTTTGCAAAAACAGTTCTGCCTGGTTCAGAATGTCCCAAGTACTGAAACCTTAAGAAGGAATTGTGAGTTTTGGCTGCAGTTGAGAAAATCAACTTCCTTGCACTGGATTGTATCCCTGATGGCTCAATCTATATTTTCTGAATGGCTAGCCACCTGCTGAAAGCGTCACACAAAGCATGAACAATGTAGCTCTGGCGACAATCCCTATGGGTCTCGGTAAAACCTGAGCTGAGTTGAGCTGAGTCAAGAATTGACATCACGGCACTCTGGGCATTCCTATGAGAAGGTAAAACCTGTACTCATGAACCAAATGACATAGCCATGAAACAAACCTATGACTTCTAAAGGTCTAACCACTTCATAACAGAGACATTCAGATGTAGCAATATGGTGTCACAGATATGGATACTCACTCTTTGTGGAATTCATAGATCTCATCCATGTTGCTAAAGACTACGTGCTCCTTGCCAACGATACCTGGGGGTACGTTAATGCTGGGATCTGACATAGGTTTCATGTAGCTCTGTGGAAAAAACACATGTGATCAAGAATGGGAAGAGTTAACATTTATTAAGACCTCTCATCCAACACCGAGGTTACAGCAAGCTGAGACTGCCCGAGTGCATGCATGTTTGTTTGTTTGTGGGAGTGTGTAAATGTACCTGTGCATAACGTGCGCTTGTGGCCATCTCTTCCAGAAGATTTTGGAGAATACAGCAACATCTGAGTGTGTGAATATCTTTCAGAATCTTAACTATTGCTTTGTTGCTGTTGTTTTTGTTGGTGTTGCTGTTGTTTTTGTTGGGTTGCTGTTGTTGCTGTTGCAGCTGATACTGTTTTTGTCACTACTGTTGGTGTTGCTGGCATATTCCAGATGATACTGTGCCCCTGTGCTAGAGGGAGGCATGGAAATCACACCCTAGGGTGAGGGTGAGTGTCACTAGCAAGTCTTGTTTAGGTGTGGAACACTCTCCCAGTCTGTGATTACAGGATCACTACTGCATTTGGATGTACCTGATATATTTTTTCACAGATGCCCAGCTCTTAAACTGTCTACAATCCTTGTCCCTGATATATTTCTTCACAGACGCCCAGCTCTTAACCTATCTACAATCCCTGTCCCTGATATATTTCTTCACAGATGCCCAGCTCTTAACCAGTCTACAATCCTTGTCCCTGATATATTTCTTCACAGATGCCCAGCTCTTAACCTGTCTACAATCCTTGTCCCTGATATATTTCTTCACAGATGCCCAGCTCTTAACCTGTCTACAATCCTTGTCCCTGATATATTTCTTCACAGATGCCCAGCTCTTAACCTGTCTACAATCCTTGTCCCTGATATATTTCTTCACAGATGCCCAGCTCTTAACCTGTCTACAATCCTTGTCCCTGATATATTTCTTCACAGATGCCCAGCTCTTAACCTGTCTACAATCCCTGTCCCTGATATATTTCTTCACAGACGCCCAGCTCTTAACCTGTCTACAATCCTTGTCCCTGATATATTTCTTCACAGATGCCCAGCTCTTAACCTGTCTACAATCCCTGTCCCTGATATATCTCTTCACAGACGCCCAGCTCTTAACCTGTCTACAATCCTTGTCCCTGATATATTTCTTCACAGATGCCCAGCTCTTAACCTGTCTACAATCCCTGTCCCTGATATATTTCTTCACAGACGCCCAGCTCTTAACCTGTCTACAATCCTTGTCCCTGATATATTTCTTCACAGATGCTCAGCTCTTAACCTGTCTACAATCCTTGTCCCTGATATATTTCTTCACAGACGCCCAGCTCTTAACCTGTCTACAATCCTTGTCCCTGATATATTTCTTCACAGATGCCCAGCTCTTAACCTGTCTACAATCCTTGTCCCTGATATATTTCTTCACAGATGCCCAGCTCTTAACCTGTCTACAATCCTTGTCCCTGATATATTTCTTCACAGACGCCCAGCTCTTAACCTGTCTACAATCCTTGTCCCTGATATATTTCTTCACAGACGCCCAGCTCTTAACCTGTCTACAATCCTTGTCCCTGATATATTTCTTCACAGATGCCCAGCTCTTAACCTGTCTACAATCCTTGTCCCTGATATATTTCTTCAGATGCCCAGCTCTTAACCTGTCTACAATCCTTGTCCCTGATATATTTCTTCACAGACGCCCAGCTCTTAACCTGTCTACAATCCCTGTCCCTGATATATTTCTTCACAGATGCCCAGCTCTTAACCTGTCTACAATCCCTGTCCCTGATATATTTCTTCACAGATGCCCAGCTCTTAACCTGTCTACAATCCTTGTCCCTGATGTATTTCTTCACAGACGCCCAGCTCTTAACCTGTCTACAATCCTTGTCCCTGATATATTTCTTCACAGATGCCCAGCTCTTAACCTGTCTACAATCCTTGTCCCTGATATTTTTCTTCACAGATGCCCAGCTCTTAACCTGTCTACAATCCTTGTCCCTGATATATTTCTTCACAGATGCCCAGCTCTTAACCTGTCTACAATCCCTGTCCCTGATATATTTCTTCACAGACACCCAGCTCTTAACCTGTCTACAATCCTTGTCCCTGATATATTTCTTCACAGACACCCAGCTCTTAACCTGTCTACAATCCTTGTCCCTGATATATTTCTTCACAGATGCTCAGCTCTTAACCTGTCTACAATCCTTGTCCCTGATATAATTCTTCACAGACGCCCAGCTCTTAACCTATCTACAATCCCTGTCCCTGATATATTTCTTCACAGACGCCCAGCTCTTAACCTGTCTACAATCCTTGTCCCTGATATATTTCTTCACAGACGCCCAGCTCTTAACCTGTCTACAATCCCTGTCCCTGATATATTTCTTCACAGATGCCCAGCTCTTAACCTGTCTACAATCCTTGTCCCTGATATATTTCTTCACAGATGCCCAGCTCTTAACCTGTCTACAATCCTTGTCCCTGATATATTTCTTCACAGACGCCCAGCTCTTAACTTGTCTACAATCCTTGTCCCTAATTCCTTCAACAAATCTGAGGGCAGAGGCAGAGGCAGACATCACAGAACAGTTCAACAATGAATTCCGTATTTTAACCCTGTCACCTTAAGAAAGCCGGTTTCCCGACTTTTATGGGTTTTTTGATGACAATGTTTTTGGGCAGTTGCCTACAAAACAGCTTTGGTACTGGTTTGTACAAGTGGTTGATACGATTATATTCACTCAGCTTTTGTTTTAAACATTTCTGAGGTTGTTGGGGGAAAAAAATCAATATTTTAATGTCATTGTGTTGTTTTAATAAACCTATGATGACATCGCTTTGCTCTCTGTGGTTGTGTTAACAATACTGTTTTCTTGGTCAAAGGGAAGAAAACCAGTTATTTTGTTGCTCAGTTTGTATATACTGATTACTTCCCCTTCATATAAAATAAGCACCTTTATGCAAAAAAAATGACAGATCCTTCCTTATAAGTGATTCGAGGGTTGTGATGACACAATAACTAGCAGGTTTGTCTGTCTGCTCAGTGGTGATAGGTTTCAACCTCTTGGATGTTTATAAAAGTACTTTTCAATCAATTAAGAATGACTTAAGGTGAAGCTAATATGTTCACTCAAGTAAAGATGTCTGTAATACCAAATATTATACAGAGGAAATTCAAACTTGTTTTCAAGACTGCTATTTTCTGCACGTTTCCAATACAGGACAGATTTTGTTTTTCAGGGGAACAGCGGGTATTGTAGCTGTGGTCTTTGCAGGCAGCCTGAGCATGCTATTCTCGCAAAGTTTTGGTCACGTCGGTCCACTATCAGCGAAGACGGAATTGCATCAAACTGTTTCCAAACACAGTAAAAGCTGTCCCCAGAAATATAACATGTCAACCATTTTTACGGTTGGGAGAAATCATAACGTATGGTTAACTCAACAGCCATGGCCAAATAGCAGATAAAATTCATCAATAACAACCTAAGAACAATAATGAAAGTAAACTTTGTGAACTTACATTGATACAAATCTCTAAATCTTTCACATAGGTTCTCTCTGTCTGCAGCAGCTCTGCCATGATAAACCTGGAGAACACACAAACAACAATTATGGACAAAATGTGCCCATCATGGTATTTGCAATGTGCTCTGCTAGGGGTATGTTTTTGTAAGCCACATTGCTATATGACGAACATTTAGTTGCTACGACACAGCGGGGATGAATGTTCAGCTGTATACTTTTATTCGCTGAATCACAACATATCACAGGCACGCATTCTCTCATCCTCGTGTTCGTTCTGCTTGGCTGATTTCTCACGGCCTGATCAATCCTCTCACACACTGTTTTGATCCATCAGCGTCTTTCGAATCACACATCCATCCTCTAGCAAAGCCTTGTACCTGGTATTAGGACATGTAGGAAACATTCATATCTTCTCTCGAAATATTACAAGTATTTACAGTTCCTCCATTTTCCTGAGGCGTTCACTCATACGACCTCTCGCAACCAGGTCCGAACTTCAACTTACTTCCGTCTCTCGGTTCACATCTTCCATTCCAGTCTCATGCTTTTCTTGTATCCCTTATTTAACTCACCACGGGATATTCGAGACCCACTTATCTCTTTTTTCTCTTGTATCACTGGTCCTCTGACCTTGTCCTCCCCATCGGGAATTCTCTGGGATTTCCCCGGGAATTTACAACATTACAGTGTTAGTTCATTAAAAATGGTAGGACCGTTAGGTGTCCTCAATGTTAAGATGGGCAGGCACTGCCCCACAATGAGTATGACATAACAAAGTAAAAATAGGTAACCAGTTGGGCAGTATATGATGAATACATCATGGCAGGACAGAACAATCACAGGGACCTTTACACGAATACATCATGGCAGGACAGAACAATCACAGGGAACTTTACACGAATACATCATGGCAGGACAGGAGAATCACAGGGACCTTTACACGAATACATCATAGCAGGACAGAACAATCACAGGGAACTTTACACGAATACATCATAGCAGGACAGAACAATCACAGGGACCTTTACATCATGGCAGGACAGAACAATCACAGAGACCTTTACATCATGGCAGGACAGAACAATCACAGGGACCTTTACATCATGGCAGGACAGAACAATCACAGGGACCTTTACACGAATACACCATGGCAGGACAGGAGAATCACAGAGAACTTTACACAAATACATCATGGCAGGACAGGAGAATCACAGGGAACTTTACATCATGGCAAGACAGAACAATCACAGGGACCTTTACACAAATACATCATGGCAAGACAGAACAATCACAGGGAACTTTACACAAATACATCATGGCAGGACAGAACAATCACAGGGAACTTTACACAAATACATCATGGCAAGACAGAACAATCACAGGGAACTTTACACAAATACATCATGGCAGGACAGAACAATCACAGGGACCTTTACACGAATACATCATGGCAGGACAGAACAATCACAGGGAACTTTACACGAATACATCATGGCAGGACAGAACAATCACAGGGACCTTTACACGAATACATCATGGCAGGACAGAACAATCACAGGGAACTTTACACAAATACATCATAGCAGGACATAACAATCACAGGGAACTTTACACAAATACATCATGGCAGGACAGAACAATCACAGGGACCTTTACACGAATACATCATGGCAGGACAGAACAATCACAGGGACCTTTACATCATAGCAGGACAGAACAATCACAGGGACCTTTACATCATGGCAGGACAGAACAATCACAGGGAACTTTACACGAATACATCATGGCAGGACAGAACAATCACAGGGACCTTTACACGAATACATCATGGCAGGACAGAACAATCACAGGGATCTTTACATCATGGCAGGACAGAACAATCACAGGGATCTTTACATCATGGCAAGACAGAACAATCACAGGGACCTTTACACAAATACATCATGGCAGGACAGAACAATCACAGGGACCTTTACACAAATACATCATGGCAGGACAGAACAATCACAGGGACCTTTACACGAATACATCATAGCAGGACAGAACAATCACAGAGAACTTTACACGAATACATCATAGCAGGACAGGAGAATCACAGGGAACTTCACAAGAAAAGAAGTTAAGAGGTTGGCCTGGAAACGCTGGACAAAGCCACTGTGAGACTCCAACAACAGCGGGTATCAGGGGCAGACACAAGAGAATCAAACGACTGACTTTGGTCAGAGTGACACTATCTGTTTAGGAAAAGACAGTGTTAGAAGTGTTAGACTATGTTATGTTTCAAAAAAGACCTTGTAGGAGTCGACTAACTGGGGGGCTTCCTTCAAAGCCGGAGAGGCAAGGAACCAACAGTCTACATACAAATAAGCTAGATCTGTCAAATGGATACACAAGCAAAACTGATGTCCTAGAACAAAGCCAAAGCCTAGCAATGGACGAACAACCAGGCCTTTGCGCCGTAGTTTACAGCCGGTGAGTGGGTGGGTACGATTTTTTTTTTTAAATGTAAAAAGATGATGCCAAATAAACACTCACTCTCTTCTCCTTGCAGACTTCCTCTTTTCTTCTGTGATTTCCTTCACAGCTCCCGTTTGTTCCAGTTTCTCTTCAATTGATGAATCACTCTGTCTCTGCTCATCCTTCTCATTTTGCTGGTGAAAGAAGCAAACATAAAACTTGGATGTAGTCAAATATGATCAGAAAATAAGAGACAAAAGTATTACATTATAACATATCACTGTAGAAAACATCTTTGTTTTTCAACAAGCAATGTTGAGTAGTAATTTTTTATGACTAGCGGTCAATAATGAATCTCTGACACTAACCCAATTACATGACCTGGGAGTAAAACCTAGTGAAGCAAATGGGTGCTGTTTTCACTGACTACTTTTGGATGCTGAGTAGTAATCATCATGAGATGGACAAACAACATTATGACTACTTTTGGATGCTAAGTGGTCATCATCACTTGAGATAGACAAACAACATCACAGACTACTTTTGGATGCTAAGTGGTCGTCATTACTCAAGATAAACAGACAACATCCCTGACTACTTTTAGATTCTAAGTGGTTGTCATCACTTGAGATGGACGAAAAACAAACATAGATACAAGATAAACATGGCAAACCTCATGAGTAGTTAGGCCCAGCTTTGCCTGCAGCTGAGCCCGGTACTTCTCCATGCGGGATGAAAAGAGCTTGTAACGCTTGTCCACCATGGAGCACCACTCCATGATGCTGGTGGCATGGATGTTTCCCTTGGTGACAAAATCGTCTGCCAGATGCAGCAGCAGCTTGACATTCTCCCTGGTCTCCTGCAACAGTCGACAGTAAACACGTTTGTAGGTGACAGTTCGCATTGCTTTTACGGCAGCTAACAGTCATCACATATGGCTTAAGTAAATACAGTTGGCAGCAATATCAGGTTTATTGGGAGGTAAGGTATGAAGAAAGGAAGGAAAGAGAAGCAGACAGAAGTGAGGGAGGGAAGAAGGAAGGAGGGAGGGAGGGAAGGTAGGAAAAAAATGAAGTGGGAAACAAGGAAGGGAGGAAGGAAGGAAGGAAAAAAAAGGAAGGGTGTGAGGGCTGCAGTGAGGGAGTTAGGAAGGAAATGTAGAGCCCCAAATTCAACACATATGACATAACATACTTTAGCCCTATTCCTGAATTCATAGTGCTCTTTCAAGAGGGCTTCAGTCTCACACTTGTCCGAGCCCAGGTTTGTGTGAGATGCCAGGTAGGCCTCGCCGTAGTCGTGGATCCACTCAAGGGCCTGTAATATACAACATCAATACAGAACAGTAGGCATTAAGTACTGCTGTCAGTTTATTTATCAGCAAAATTGGTTTATCATACCATGTCGTTTGTTTCTCTCACAAGATTGTCATTAGATGTCATTCTAAGCTTTTTCTTTCCCACAACTATCATCTGTGTCAAGATTGGCATCTATTGTCATTTAAAGCCTATTTTCTTGTTTGAATGCCTGTCATCTCATTCATGACACATGTTTATTCTTTTCCAAGAATGCAAACTAATGTCATTTCATATAACTTTCTTCTTCCCCTAGACTGTCAACAAGAGGTTAAAACAGAAATGGTACAACCATGACATCATAATGTTTTTAAAAAATGGGATACAACCTTGATAACAATATGTTTTTTTTTAAATGGTATACAACCTTGATGACAATATGTAGAGAGGAAGAGTTGAAACCCTATGTTAAAAGCGGAATGACAACAGTCAACAGTATGTTGACACACAGTATGTGGAAAGGAAAGTTAAATAATCTTGACAACAATGTCTAAACTAAAAGGAATGTGGACAATTGGACAACAATATGTAACAAAAATGAATGATAGACAAATGTGACAACTATGTAGAGAGGAAAGGTAGATCACTCTGACAACACATGGAAAGGAGAGGTAGATGATACATGTGCTACTTGTCCACTGCTGCAACCGCCACCTGTCACTGACCTGCTTGGCACTCTGCTCAAACAGGATAAACTGGTGGCACTGCTCAAGCTTCCTCTTCTTGGAGGTCCAGTATTCCAGCACTAGGTTCTCCTGATGCAGCAGCTTGGTCAAAGTGGCTGGGGACACAAGAAGAGCAATGTTGATTGTGTCCTCAACTATCTGCTCAGTGATCACCTGTACTAGTGTTTGTGAGGAGTGGCTGGCCAAATGGTTAAGCATGCTGAGCTCTTGTGCACGAGACCTAGGTTGCAGACTGAGGCAACAGCACTAGCCATGCATCTCTTAATCCTCAGGCTTAGAGATCCCCCCACACCCCACCCCACACATACACACCACACACACAACAAAAGTAGTAGCTACATGCAATAATGACTTTTTTTTTAAAACCAGTATTTCTGACAGCTGTGGTAGCATAGTGATTAGAATCTTAACTGCCACCCTAAAGGTTCTGAGTTCAAATCTGCATCATGGTAGATTTTTTAGATTTTTTTGTTGTTTAATTGACTTCCATCCAGGTAAACCAAGCCCACAATAGAACCTGGGTAATATCCTGGGAAGTAGAGGCGGGCCAGCATGATGATGATGACCACATTGCCAATGAAGTGACTTGAAACAAATGAGCCCAGCATCACATGCCAGATAGGTCATCGGTGTTAACAAACAAAAGAAATTTGGTTCTTTTACTTGTTACTATAGTGTTCTTGCTTAACCTGCTGGCTCACTAAGTTTGTATTCATAATCCTCATTGAAGATGGGACTATATTTTTTAATTTACCCGGATTCAGGAAGAATCATTCAAGCAGAGGGATCTACATTTCACTCAATGTTCTGTGTACATCATATGGCTAGACAAACATTTCACTCAATGTTCTGTGTACATCAGATGGATAGACAAACATTTCACTCAATGTTTTGTGTACATCAGATGGATAGACAAACATTTCACTCAATGTTTTGTGCACATCATATGGATAGACACATTTCACTCAATGTTCTGTGTACATCATATGGACATACAAACATTTCACTCAATGTTCTGTGTACATCTGATGGATAGACAAACATTTCACTCAATGTTCTGTGTATATCAGATGGATAGGCAAAACATTTCACTCAATGTTTTGTGTACATCAGATGGATAGACAAACATTTCACTCAATGTTCTGTGTATATCAGATGGATAGGCAAAACATTTCACTCAATGTTTTGTGTACATCATATGGACATACAAACATTTCACTCAATGTTCTGTGTACATCATATGGACAGACAAAAGATTTCACTCAATGTTCTGTGTACATCATATGGACAGACAAAAGATTTCACTCAATGTTCTGTGTACATCATATGGACAGACAAAAGATTTCACTCAATATTCTGTGTACAAAATATGGACAGACAAACATTTCACTCAATGTTCTATGTACATCATATGGATAGACAAACATTTCACTCAATGTTCTATGTACATCATATGGATAGACAAACATTTCACTCAATGTTCTATGTACATCATATGGATAGACAAAACATTTCACTCAATGTTCTGCGTACATCTGATGGATAAACAAACATTTCACTCAATGTTTTGTGTACATCATATGGACATACAAACATTTCACTCAATGTTCTGTGTACATCATATGGACATACAAACATTTCACTCAATGTTCTGTGTACATCATATGGACAGACAAAAGATTTCACTCAATGTTATGTGTACATCATATGGATAGACAAACATTTCATTCAATGTTCTGTGTACATCATATGGATAGACAAACATTTCACTCAATGTTCTGTGTACATCAGATGGATAGACAAACATTTCACTCAATGTTCTGTGTACATCATATGGATAGACAAAACATTTCACTCAATGTTCTGTGTACATCATATGGATAGACAAACATTTCACTCAATGTTCTGTGTACATCATATGGATAGACAAAACATTTCACTCAATGTTCTGTGTACATCAGATGGATAGACAAACATTTCACTTAATGTTCTGTGTACATCATATGGATAGACAAAACATTTCACTCAATGTTCTGTGTACATCAGATGGATAGACAAACATTTCACTCAATGTTCTGTGTACATCAGATGGATAGACAAACATTTCACTCAATGTTCTGTGTACATCATATGGATAGACAAAACATTTCACTCAATGTTCTGTGTACATCATATGGATAGACAAACATTTCACTCAATGTTCTGTGTACATCATATGGACAGACAAACATTTCACTCAATGTTCTGTGTATATCATATGGACAGACAAACATTTCACATACATGAAATGGGTGGTACGACACTTCACCACCTGGCCCATGTTACAATAATTAGACAGATTTACATTTCACTCACTGTTCCTTGTACAAAATGTAGCTGGGCCTAGATTTAACCAATTGTCCCATATTACATCTAAATAATTACACATACATTTCTCTTCTTCTTAGAGTTCACCGGCTGTGGAAAGTTCTGGTTGTTCATCCACTTCTGGACTTTAGTCTACTTCCAGGACCTGAGTTTTGCATGCAAATCCATTTTATAGATCTGGTTTATTTGTAGGCACACTGCAGGTTCTTCGCCTTTCAGGGGGGTCTATTCTAATTTTTTTCTAAAATACTGCCCCAGACACCAAACTGGGACAGTTCCGTTATTTAAAAAAAAAAAAAACACAAACTACTTAATAATCTAGATCCACTCTCAAAAGGGCGGTTGGCAATCTGTGTTGCAGATTACAGCTAGGCTGTGATATCTGCGGCCATTGGCCCAACAAGCCAAATCCTCAACAGCTGACGTTTACAGCATGCATGTTAAGGAGCTGTGGGTCGATTCTTTTTTCCCCCAAAATAGATTTTCTCTTTTCCCCACAAAACAGTTTCTTTTTCCCCCAAAACAGAGTTTCTCTTTTTCCCCATAACAGAGTTTCTCTTTTCCCCGCAAAACAGAGTTTCTCTTTTCCTCCAAAACAGAGTTTCATTCTAACCCCCCCCCCCCCCCCCCCCCCCCCCCAACCAGTCTCTTTTCCCCCAAAAAAAGTTTTGCCCCCCCCCCCCCCCCCCCCAAACAGTCTCTTTTTCCCCCAAAAAACAGAGTTTCGTCCCCCCCCCCCCCCCCCCCCAAAACAGAGTCTCTTTCCCCCCCAAAACAGAGTCTCTCCCCCCCCCCCCCCCCCAAAAAAAAAAAAACAGAGTCCCCCCCCCCCCCAAAAAAAAAAAACAAGAGTCTCTTTTTCTCCCCAAAACAGAGTCCAGAACCCACGCAGACAGCAATCTACAACAGATAAACAGACCTACCTTTTACCCGCTGCTCCGGGCTACCAAATTTCATTTGCACACCGAGGAAATGTAAATTCCTGGTGACATATTTAAGGAATGTTTCAGCGGTTCTCCTGGCCAGGGTGCATGCCTGATTGGATAGACATTAATACAAGTAAATATATATTTACAGAATATAAACATGTACATATGCACAACAAAAAACAGATGTATACACATACACTTTTTGTTTCTTAGTCTTCTTCAGTTACACACAAACTCACACAATTTCTGTATTTCTCAATCAAAGTACCTCCTAAAAAAAAGAGAACACTTACACATCGACCAAAACACCCACACTGCACCGCAACATCCACACTGTGATGCAACACCCCCACTGTGCCACAACATCCCCACTATTACGCAACATCCACACTGTGACGTAACACCCCCACTGTGCCACAACATCCCCACTTACGCAACATCCACACTGTGACGTAGCACCTACCCTGAGGAAAGCCTCTTTCTGTTCGTTGTGCTTGTTGACTAGCTGGACCAGATATGTTGCCTTGGCCTGGGTGCTGGTGGTACCAGCCTTCTCACTGTTGCACCAGTCCTCGTCCCGTTTATAATCCCTGTCTAAAGACTCCAGCACAGACCACACCTGTAAAAAAAAACAGCAGCAACAGCGAAGGTGACACATCATTGGCCAGCGTGGTCATCTTTCCTGTTCTACAACCAAAATCAGTAACAGTGAAGGACTCCTTTTCAGCCGTGGTAGCATAGTGGCTAGATGCTGGGCTGTTGGTCCGAAGATCTAGGATTCAAATCCGTATCACGGATGATGTAACCTTAGTTTCCCAGTTGACCCAGCCTAAAACAGGTAACAGCTAATGTCCTGGGAGGCAAAGGCAGCCGGCGTAATGCTGACTACAAGAACTAGCAATGCCTGATCTATACAAAATATGTCTAGCATCATATGCCTCACGCGCCACTGTTATACAAAGGTTTCCTGTGCTAGCTTACTAATAATTTACTGCTTTGTGAGGTATCCTCCTAATTTTTTTCTTTGGTCACTGTGTTTTCAACTCTGTAAAATGATTTGACACACACGGAAGGAATTCCTGGCTAGGCATTATATTTCACACTAGGATGCCCAGATACTTTACCGTCCTAAATATAGACAAGCAATTATAGCAGCAGGGTAATAAGATGGACATTGTTTTTACTGACCTTTAAGCCTCAAAGCTGCATTCACAAAAAACAAAACAGTATCATCGTCATCAAGTGTCTTGCTGACTGACATAGGCAAGAGGTTTCAAGAAAATGATTGGCTTGTTTATTAGCTAACTGTCCAGGATTCACAGCCATATGTTTATACTGGCACTACACAGCAAGCAGGAATCTTTTCCTAACCTCCAGTGACATGGATTTATTATTTATTATAATATTTTTGCTACTGATTTGTTTTGTGATATTGTTTTGTTTAAATCACCCCTTTAGACAAAAACACATCAGGTAATCTCAGTTCCAACCTCACTGCAAATAGATCACCTCATAGTTGCTCCATTTCTGTGCCAACAACAAAAATTACAGAATGTCCAACACTGCAACTTGGGAAACAGATGCAGCTTCAGCACAGCCAATAGCATAAACATGCATAGGGCAGCTGTTAAGAGATGCCAACACAAGCAATCTGGCACAAGAAAACATAAAACTGTGTCACATTTGAACCTTTGTTTTTACTACTTTTAGAACAGAACAGGATGGGGGACCATGAGCCTGAGGACATCAGGCAGCAAGGCAGAACAAATCTCCATCCCCTACCGTCAATCAAACCCAGGTCTCACACTCGACAGCCCTGCATTCTAACCACTGAGACAGCAAGGCAGAACAAATCTCCATCCTCTACCGTCAATCAAACCCAGGTCTCCCGCACGACAGCCCTGCACCCTAACCACTCGGACAGCAAGGCAGAACAAATCTCCATCCTCTACCGTCAATCAAACCCAGGTCTCCTGCACGACAGCCCTGCACCCTAACCACTCGGATGTCATAACAATAAGGAAGTTCAGAGAAAATCGTGCTGGTGGTGGGGGTCAGCCCTAAGGATGGAGAGATGCTTGAGAATATTTTTGGCTCTGACGTTGTGGGGATGGTAGGTAAGTATGAGGATAGGTCTGTTGTGGGGGTGGTAGGTAAGTATGAGGATAGGTCTGTTGTGGGGGTGGTAGGTAAGTATGAGGATAGGTCTGTTGTGGGGGTGGTAGGTAAGTATGAGGATAGGTCTGTTGTGGGGGTGTAGGTAAGTATGAGGATAGGTCTGTTGTGGGGGTGGTAGGTAAGTATGAGGATAGGTCTGTTGTGGGGGTGGTAGGTAAGTATGTGGTTAGGTCTGTTGTAGGGGTGGTAGGTAAGTATGAGGATAGGTCTGTTGTGGGGGTGGTAGGTAAGTATGAGGATAGGTCTGTTGTAGGTAAGTATGAGGTTAGGTCTGTTGTGGGGGTGGTAGGTAAGTATGAGGATAGGTCTGTTGTGGGGGTGGTAGGTAAGTATGAGGATAGGTCTGTTGTGGGGGTGGTAGGTAAGTATGAGGATAGGTCTGTTGTGGGGGTGGTAGGTAAGTATGAGGATAGGTCTGTTGTGGTGTCGTTTAGGCTTGATGCTCAGTGATCTACTTTTCATTCGGTCTCATGTCTTTTCATGAAATAACAATGAAGAGGACAGCCTACCTGTTCAGCAGTTTTATACCAGTTGGTGGAAGCCATGACCAGCTTCTGCCGTTCCTCTGCATGATACATCAGCTGCTGCCAGGCCAAGGTGACGTTCTCGGCAATGGCTCGCACCAACTCTGCATTGTAGTGTTGTTGATGGAGCATGACCTCAGCTCGCTGGGTCACGGTCACCACAGAGAAGTGCGTTTTCTGAAACAACATACAATGCCTCAGGTGATTAGTCTCCCCCACAGGTGATAACGTTTTTGGTTAAAGATTATGTGAGCTCTACAGTTTTTCCTATCCTGACACACGGAAGTGAATCATGGGACAGTTAATAGATTTTAAAAATTTTGGGAAGCTGTGGAGATGTGGTTTTACAGATGAATGATGAGGAAACCTTGGTCAGATAAAAAGAGTAATCAAGATGTCTTGAAACAAAGTGACTCCTGAAAATAACTGACTGCCCACACAAGAAGTAGACAATCTACATATTTTGGTCATGTGATGAGAAGAAGAGAATGGGAGGACATCATGGCAGCTGAAGAGGAAGAGAGGCAGAGGAAGACTCAGAGAAAAAATGCTGGACAGTCTGAATCATGGCATGGAGGATCATCTGTATCAGAGTTGACTGAAAGTACATGAGACAGAAGGTTGTGGATAGAGATGATGCCACATGGCATGGACTTTAAGAAGATGATGGTTTTTCCATTACATACATCAGTATGATGCTGGGCTACGTAAGTAGCTATGTAAAGCAAAGTAGCTGGGGGCCTCAGGTTTCTTGAGCATCCCCAAAAGTATTTTAGGGAGGGCTGAGCCGTCCCTTACCTTACAACCCAACCTCCCACCACCCCGCAATAATTTCTGTAAGGGTACTAAAAGACCCCATTTAACCCTGAATATAAATGATTTTTAACTGTATATGTTCATATAGATATATATTCAGTTTTCATTAAGCACATTAGTATTAATAATAGTGTGCTGAATGGCAAATAAATATAATAATACATTTTATGTAATATGCAATAGTATACTTTAAAAGATAATTTCTATAGATGGTTGAAGGGGGGCATCTTGACCACTTTATAAAATTACTGGGTTGGAGATTGAACCCCCACCCCCTTTTTTTTCATGTTTTCTTTGTGACAGCTTGCATGATGTAAAAGAAAGCCTTCTTAAGTCTGTGGTGCAGGGGGGCATACAATAATAGGCTAATATAAAGACAAAAATTGTGCTTGGCGGCCATCTTTACTTCCTAGGAGATTACCTAGTACCTGGTACTAATTTTAAGTTAGGCCATTTTGGACTGCAATGTCGCAATGAAATACATCAACATAACTATATATATGTCAGATACATGTTTCTGCCTTTAGTTTCTCTCTCTTTCTTTCTCATTTTTGCTCCCACCATTTTTTCTTTTACTTTCTCTCTCTTCCCTATCTTTTTATACATGTGCGTATGCACTGGGCACGTATGCATGGGTGAGGATGTGTTTGGGTCTGTATGCATGCACATATGTACTTGGGTTTGTTTTGAGCAGTGGTCGATTTGAACAAATAATTCCTCTGGTTTTCAGACAACGGTACAAGAGTTGTGCCGCACCGGGGAACACCTGGGGCCTCATCACGTAATAATCCCAAAGACAACAGTGGGACAGCCATAGCCAACATTTCACTGTGAAGACGGCACACACATTTTAATTCAGTATATGTAGATGTGCATAGGTGCATATGAATATGTATGATATGTATATGTATAAGTGTACGTTTTTCCCTCACAACATGCTTTTATACATGTACTTAGTATCTGTATTGCAATTATTGCTAAATAAACTTAATATGCAAGATATATTTAAAGTAAACAAAAAAACGGCTGTGTGAAAAGTGGGTGGTCGGAACAGCCAAATATAAGACACGCCTGTGTGGCCAATTTTTTACCCTATGAAATTTAAGTATGCTCTCTCTCTCTCTCTCTCTTTTTTTAATCTCTCCTTCTTTCTATAGATTTTACCCCTTAACTGATTAAAAAAAAACATTTAAAAAACTAGTTTCTCTTTAGTGTATGTCAAAAGTAGGGTAGCAATATTTAAACTGTTGTTATGATGTCAACGTGTTCGCCTGCACTATGATGTCATATGCTTAACACTCTTGACATCCTTCACAACAATACTGACAGGTTACAAGATAATGGCATGGTTATCATAATTTTTATCATACTTCAAACATTTTCATCTGAAGTTCCCCTCGTATAACATTACATTTCATTACTAATGATTAATTATATATTTTATAGATTAATTACTAATACCACTAAGGCAATAATTAGGTGGAGACACTGCAGAAATCTGGTGGCCCTGAGTCTTCTACAACAAACACAGGATGCCAGCATCTCACCTCTATGGCAATCATGAACTGATCATGTTCCTTCTTCAGCTGCTCAGCCTCCACGAGAGAGTTTGGACACATGAAACTGTCTGTCAGCATGGATTCTCCATTACGAACCCATAAAATCACCTGAAATATTCAGTCAGATTTCCACAATTTTGGTTCAACGAAACATGTGCTATATAATATCCCCTGAAAAAAATCAGCTATATATATATATATATATATATATATATATATGTTCGTTTGTTCAAAATCTTAAATCTCCAAAAGTTCTTCACTGGTCACTTTGAAATTTTGACATAACATTGCATTCAAATTTTCGCACGTTTTTTTAATGACTTTTATACATATGTCACACCCATGACATGTAAAAACATGCTTTTCTTGAAAAACAGCGCTATCTGTTGGACGGAAAAGCAAAACATAATATACAAAATATTTTACGATTCCATTTCAATGTTTTAGATTCACAATCCATTTAAGATGTCCAAATTTCCTATTTTACTATCAATGTTTCTGATTCCACTGTTAAATTGAATTTTCATATATTTAGATTCATTTTCATTTTGATTTAATTATTTTTTGTGACATAGCGTTGAAATTGAGTTGTGTCGTTTAACATTGCGTTCATTGTGTATGCATTGTTTATTTATTTTTATTTTTTTTGTATTTTATTTTTTAACTGTTTTTCTTTTTTAGCATTGCAATTTTCGGTGGAAATGAGCGGTGCCGATTGCTCTGCGTTTTAATTGAAATATTTCGTTAGTATTTGTTTTCTTTGTTTTTAAGTTTTGTTTTTTTCCTTTTGTAATGTCTAGCAATTTTATATGTTTTTGTTAAAACTTGTTTCTTCTTTTTAAGTGCGATCAGTTTGCTTTAGTGAGTGTGGCAGCCCATTGTGATGGCAAGTGTGACTAGCAAGACAGGCCCACATTAAGACAAGACTTTCACAATCAGAGCAGGGGATTTCAGAACCATTGCTGCCATCACATGTATTTAGTGCGCTTCTTCTCAGATCCACAGCTCTCAGTCTATCTGCAATCATTTTTTTCTTTCATTTCCATTCCCTTTCTTATTTTCTCCATCCACGCAACACTGTCCATGGAGTTCTGTTCCCATGAATCGACCTCAATTCCTGTATCATTAATGTCCCACTTGCACACATCTTTACATCACAGCAGAGGCCAACTTCAGCATTTTCTACACATCTGTAATTCCCCATAGAGGATGTCCTTAGAGACTCTACCATCCTCCATTCTTCAGATGGAACACAGCAAATGCAACCTTCACAGACTAAGTGAGCACTGAGAAAACTGTTGCAATACCTGCTCTTTCCAATACCTCAGTGTCTATGATCTTGTCTTGGTATTTCATGCTAAGTATATACTACAACAGACAGAGACCACATGTTACATATATCACCTGAAACATTCCTAATCTGGATACAACAGTCACAAACTATGTTTCATGACATAACCATCTGGACAAATTCTAAAGTGTCTCAACTCCCCAGGGCAGAAATTAAAAACTACAGTATCTCAAACCCCCAAGGACCAAAGTAGAAAGACTTAACAAGTCACTAAGGTATCTAAATTTCCAATGTAAAAATAGAAAGAATTAACAAGACACAAAGGTATCTCCACTTCCCATGGGAGAAGTAGAAAGACTTAACAAGTCACTAAGGTAACTACACTTTCCAATGTAAAAATAGAAAGAATTAACAAAACACAAAGGTATCTCCACTTCCCATGGGAGAAGTAGAAAGAATTAACAAGTCCCTAAGGTAACTACACTTCCCAATGTAAAAATAGAAAGAATTATCAAGACACAAAGGTATCTCCACTTCCCATAGGAGAAGAAGAAAGAATTAACAAGACAACGGTATCTCCACTTCCCAAGGTAAAAGTAGAAATAACAAGACACTAAAGTATCTCCACTCCCATGGTCGAAGTAGACAGAATTAACAAGACATTAATGTATCTCAATTCTCCAGGGTAGAAGAGGAAGGACTAATGAAGATTTTAGTACCTCAAGATAATCACAGATAATGAATGAATCAACGAACACAAAACTTAGCCACAAAAGCCTCCTCTCTGCCTGGCTTCTATAACCACAACAGCCACTGACCTGCCTGGCTTCTATCTCAAAGTTACGTAAATGAACACACTGCTGCAGTCTGATCCTCTTCTGCTCCGCCAGCCCTTCCAGGTCAATTTGCCTTTCGTTGAGGTATTCCAACAACACACTGATCCGGTTCGTTGCTTCGCGATCACTATCAGCCATCATCTGCAAGTTTACACAGAACAATGATACATGTTCAGCCATCAAGCCCTAGACCTTCTAGACACTGCCATCCCCCAAGGAGTCTTAGGCCCTCAACCAACTCAAGTCGTTCTATCCTTCGCCATTGCATTTGGATTTTAAATCCCAAGCAACTTCCAGCTCCTTCTCATGTGTTTCTGTTATTCCTATGCCCCTGTGGCCAATGCAAAAACTAGTCATGATCTGTTTTCTCAGTGTGTGCCCTATCCAACGCCAGACTTTTGGCACGTGTGTCCACTGGAGCCTGTTTAGTCCTAAAGTGCTAACTGGTTTTTGTGTACCATTTTATTTCCTCTATTCTGGTCAGGTGTTAATGAATGTCTGTAATTTATTAGTGTCCACCTTGGTTGTTCTCATGTTTCCGCCCCATACAATAGTACTGATTTGTGAATTAAAAAACAGTTTAGTCTTTTAATTTCTTTTGTGCCAAACCTAGTGCTATGAAAGCCCCTCTTGCCTTTTGTATTCTTATTTTAAAGTGTTCCTCTCTTTACCTACATTCAACTGGTCATAGGTGTCAACGTCTTGGAGTGGGGTGCCATTAAGTGCACATTAATTTGCCTGATTTATTCTCATTATCTTTGTCTTTCCATGGATTTTGCCAAGCTGGTCATGTGCATTAAGTATATGGTCATTTATCTTGTCTATCCGTGAATGGGACAGAAGAGCAATGTCATCAGCGAAGTCATGATCATCAAGTGGTTTTGTAGGGTCCACTGGTCATTCTTGTGTTAGCAGTTACTGTTTTTCATAGTCCAGTCTATAGCCAGTAAAAATAAGAGAGGCGACAAAAGACATCCCTGTCAACTGTTTCATATTTCAAATGCATGTTAGCTTTCCCTCATGAAGAACTCGACATTTCATGTCTTTATATGTTGCCTTTACTAAGCTGATAATTTTCTGTGGGATTCCATAGTGCCCCATCAATTTCCAGAGAGATTTCCTATCTATGCTGTATGCTCTAGACACTGCCAGCCTAGAAGTCTTAGGTTCAAGTCTGCATCAAGGCAGATTTGATTTTATAATAAGCGACCTAGGCCAGTCGGTGTCTGTGGCTAGGCATTGCAAACTAGTCATGATCGACTGGTCATGTGCCGACTGGTCGTGTGTCAACTGGTCATGTGCTAACTGGTCTTGTGTCAACTGGTCATGTGTAAAGTGTTTAAGTGTCCACCGGTCATGTGTCAACTGGTCATGTGCCAACGGGTCATGTGCCAAATGGTCATGTGTTAAGTGGTCTTGTGTCAACTGGTCATGTGTCAACTGGTCATGTGCCAAGTGGTCATGTGCCAAGTGATCATGTGTTAAGTGGTCAACTGGTCATATGTCAAATGGTCATGTGTCAAATGGTCATGTGATTAAGTGGTCTTGTATCACTGGTCATGTGTCAACTGGTCATGTGCCAGTGGTCATGTGTCAGTGGTCATGTGCCAACTGGTCATGTGCCAAGTGGTCATGTGCCAAGTGGTCATGTGCCAGTGGTCATGTGCCAGTGGTCATGTGCCAAGTGGTCAACTGGTCATATGTCAACTGGTTATGTGCCAAGTGGTCAACTGGTCATATGTTAACTGGTCATGTGCCAAGTGGTCAACTGGTCATATGTCAACTGGCCATATGTCAACTGGTCATGTGCCAAGTGGTCAACTAGTCATATGTCAACTGGTCATGTGCCAACTGGTCATATGTTAACTGGTCATGTGCCAACTGGTTATTGTCAACTGGTCATTGTCAACTGGTCATTGTCAACTGGTCATGTGCCACCTGGTCATGTGCCAACTGGTCATGTGCCAACCGGTCATATGTCAACTGGTCATATGTCAACTGGTCATGTGTCAACTGGTCATGTGCCAAGTGGTCAACTGGTCATATGTCAACTGGTCATGTGCCAAGTGGTCAACTGGTCATATGTCAACTGGTCATGTGCCAATTAGTCATATGTCAACTGGTCATGTGCCAACTGGTAATATGTCAACTGGTCATGTGTCAACTGGTCATGTGTCAACTGGTCATATGTCAACTGGTCATGTGTCAACTGGTCATGTGTCAACTGGTCATGTGTCAACTGGTCATGTGCCAAGTGGTCAACTGGTCATGTGTCAACTGGTCATGTGTCAACTGGTCATGTGCCAAGTGGTCGACTGGTCATATGTCAACTGGTCATATGTCAACTGGTCATGTGCCAACTGGTCATGTGCCAAGTGGTCAACTGGTCATGTGTCAACTGGTCATATGTCAACTGGTCATATGTCAACTGGTCATGTGTCAACTGGTCATGTGCCAACTGGTCATGTGTCAACTGGTCATGTGCCAAGTGGTCAACTGGTCATATGTCAACTGGTCATGTGCCAAGTGGTCAACTGGTCATGTGTCAACTAGTCATATGTCAACTGGTCATGTGTCAACTGGTCATGTGCCAACTGGTCATGTGTCAACTGGTCATGTGCCAACTGGTCATGTGTCAACTGGTCATGTGCCAACTGGTCCTGTGTCAACTGGTCATGTGCCAACTGGTCATATGTCAATTAGTCATGTGCCAACTGGTCATATGTCAATTAGTCATATGTCAACTGGTCATATGTCAACTGGTCATGTGTCAACTAGTCATGTGCCAACTGGTCATGTGTCAACTGGTCATGTGCCAACTGGTAAGGTCTACTTGAAAATGTCCCCCGTTCCTAGGAGCCATGGTAGAAAGAGGTGAGACATTTGTCTGCCTGTCTGAAGAGCTTGGGTTTGAATCTGCATCTAGATGTATATTATTTTCAAAACTGACCTTGGCTTCGGAGCTGACCTGCCAAAATAGTCAGGTCCTGTGAACTAAAGGTAGCCAGTCTAAAAAAATTTTTTTAAATGAGTCTTAAATAATAGGTCTGATAAGCCACTGCTGTAAAAACAACCTTTTACTTCAAAAACTGTTCTCCTGTTTGCCCTCCTGTTCCTCCATTATCTTTATCCTTTGGGTGACTGCTCTTCACAAGTGCTATCACTAAAGATGGAAGCTGTCTGTAGCACCTTATGATGATTTGTAATCATCTGTGACTGGTGCTGACTACTGGCTGACCATGCAAGTTCACAATGTTGCTGGATCTCAATGACTGTCATCTGAACTGTGCCACAAAGGCATCTGCATTTACTGAAGCAGTTGCAATAATAAGAAAGACTTTTTTTGCCCAGCCCAACTGTGTGCTACTATTGTCAAACATGGACAAATAACAAATGAGCACAAAATCATAAAAAACATGGATGAGAGTTTGAGAAGAGCTGCCAGAGTAACAGGATCAGATATGTCCAGCAATAAATCTTCTAAAAGTGAGAACTCTCACCTGAGCTAGCTCCTGGCCCCTCTGTATAAGCTCATAGGTGCAGTTTTGTACATGCCGGACACTCTCGTTGTGCATCTGGAGAAGCTGCTCAGCCTTACTGCCATCGGTGATCATCTCCACGTGCTGTAGCTCTTCGGAGAGAAGTTCTAACTGGGAGGACACCTTGGATATTAGATAAACAATAGACATCACAGCTCACATAGACATGTTCAACCCCCTTGGTCGTCAGGTAAAACATAGACATCTTAGCTGATACAAATGTTCAACCCCCTTGGTCGTCAGGTAAAACATAGACATCTTAGCTGATACAAATGTTCAACCCCCTTGGTCGTCAGGTAAAACATAGACATCTTAGCTGATACAAATGTTCAACCACCTTAGTTGTCAGGTAAAACATAGACAACTTAGCTGATACAAATGTCCAACCACCTTGGTTGTCAGGTAAAACATAGACAACTTAGCTGATACAAATATTTAACCACCTTGATTGTCTAGTAAAACATAGACCTTAGCGGATACAAATGTTCAACCAACTTGGTTGTCAGACAAAACAATGACATCTTAGCGGATACAAATGTTCAACCAACTTGGTTTTCAGACAAAACAATAACATCTTAGCTGATACAAATGTTCAACCACCTTGGTTGTCAGACAAAATTATAACATCTTACCTCACATACCATTCTGTCAGACAAGCATGGCCATATTATAGCTCATTTGTACATCCACCTTTGTGGTGAGATAAAACACATCTTAGCCCGTACAAATTATCATACAATTTCATCCAGCCACCACTCACCTCCATCTCTTCTCACATATGATCAGCCAGCCCTCACCTCCATGGCATCTCTCTCACACAAATGATCAGATAGTACTCACCTCCATAGCATCTCTCTCGAACACCTGTAACTGCAAACATATGTCCAGCTTCATTTTCCTGGCTGCCCACAAATCCTCTAACTGACTCCGACTCTCGTTCAACTGGTTGAGAACACCTGAAATATGGTCCAATAAAAACTTTTGGCCCCATGGGAAGAAATAATTCAACTCTTTGCTCAGTTAGGGGTTCAAATTCTCACGGAAGTGGATTTTGTTTTCTCCAGAGACTCAATACAATTTTCCAGTTGCTTGTCCACTGTCCAGTCTCTGCACAATACAGCAAGGTTGAGTACACATAACACTTCCTGATTTTCTCCACTCAAAATCAAACATATGACCTTTAAACTGACAGGTGAGCATCCTCCCCCCCCCCCCCCCCCCCCCCCCCCCCCAAAAAAAAAAACCATGACATCATATCTTGATGTTTTTATAAACTTTATTATATTAAGGTCACTTTTCTTTGTCTTGTTGCTGATCAAAAACATGAACTAAATTTTTACATTAATTCCTGATAGGCTACTGATCTAAGATTGTGCATACAGGTATTTCTGGATGATAATGCACTGTAGCACAAAAACTGTCCAACAAAGTGTTTCACTGCAACTGTGTGTGTCCAAGATTGTATATGGAGATAAAGTCACCTAATGACACCTTAGAAACTACCAACTACATTTTCCTGCTCTCCCATAACCGTGTGTGACTTACTTATTGACTTCCCCTCGTAAGATAAAAATATAAATAATAGTAGTAGTAGATTTTTACCCCACTAGGACATACCACAAGCAATAAACACCCGATGACACAAAGTGCCACAATGTGGATGAGGATCACCGTAGAAATGTCTCAAAAACCGCGTTCAGCCATTAGAACATATTTATGGTCAGTCTATATATATTGCGGCCCCTGGCTAGAGCCAGAGTAGGGCTTCAAATAACAAAAAATTGCATCTCACAAGGAGATGACTGGATCATGTATAGAAATAATGTTCGGATGAATGTATCAGTAATTAAATGCAACTATGCGGCTAGAGGCTAGTGAATGCATTTAATACAAGGTCTGACAATTAAGTAATGAGACTAATTCCATAAAAATTAAAATAATCAATAGTTGAAGCCCCTTGTGCATTGATACAGCAAGTGGCACGATCTAACAAACACTGGAACAACCCCTGTAGTTCTTCTGTTGTTATGCCCCTTAAAGTCGATGTTACGGCTCTTTGGATGTCATCAATATCGTTAAAGAAGCGTCCTTTCAATGGTAACTGTAATTTTGGGAATATTAATCACAGGAGACAAATCTGGGGAATAAGTAGATGGTTGAGAACACACACTTGTTTTTGGGCCAAAAATTCCTGTTTTGGTGATGTCTCTTGGGTACTCTACCTGCTGATGTTTTTGGTCATCAGACAACGAATGCGGTACAAACCTGCAAGCAACTTTTGTCTGGCCAAAATCTTGCACTAAAATTTTACGAAGGGTCTCTCTATCAACACCAGATTCATCTGCCATCATCCTGATAGTAAAACAATGATCTTCTTGTATTTGGTCTGTGACTTATGCAATGAGTTCATCATTACAAACAGAAATTGGGTGTCCAGGTCTAGTTGCATTAGTAATCATTTCTACACCACTTTTGAATAAAGAATACTATCTGAAAATTTGGGAACGAGATAAAAAATTATCCCCATTAATTTGTTGCATCAATTAAACTGTTTCAATGGTGCTTGTTTTGAGTTTTAAAAAGAATTTAATGTTAGCTTTTTGCTCCGTGCTGATTACGTAACAATGCACTTCTGACTAGGTCAACAAACTGGCAGCTTGTTTGTTATCTGCTTACCGAGCGGCGATAAAAAAGTTGCCAGATCACAGATGAATGTTGCCTCTTTAGATTCCATGCTTTGCTTCATATATAGCATTTTTGTCTTGGACATAATAAAATCAGCCTCATTATTTAATTGTCGGACCTTGTAATTAAATGACCCTTAAGAACTAGGATTCTTCTTCTTCTTTTCAGTGTTAAAATGCTTTAAACTCCCTGCATATCCGTTATACAGAATTGGGTTATTTTTATCCAGTCTGTTTGTTGTTTCCTGGCCTCTGAGGCAAATGCATGCCAATTTCAAAGTCAAAACCCCAAATTAGTCGCCTTTTATGACATGCCTGTTGAGGTGAGGAGAGCACATGGGGAATACTAGAGTTCCATTTCTGTGGCAGAAGGTTTACATTAGAAAGAAAAAAAATACTTCAATTGTTTCAAACAATGGTACAAGAGTCGTACCATGGAAGCAAGTAGAGGCGGCTTACCACATAATATTCCCCAAAAAAGCCGAGGATACACAGTAGGCAACATTTATTATGGAGACAGTACATATTTTTTTTTAACCCTTTCACCCGGGAACCTAAAAATATTAAGTCAAGACCGCAATGGTACATCCCTTTAAAAATATATTTTACATAAGACACGAATAAATGTTTGTAAAATGTATTTATCAGCACTTTAAAAAAATTTTGAAACATATAATAAGATAAACAGAGTAATCAGCAAACATGAAGACAGTGAAGCATTTAACTGAACACATTCTGCATTAAATGAAATAAATTCTACTCTAAATAAAATACATTGCACAGGATCTTTAAAAACATTTTGCAGATCACTTAATCGTGAACCCCCTGACCTCTAACAGTGAGGCTACAGGAAACTCATGATGTCAGCTAGCTTTAAAAAATCCAAGTTGGTTCACAAGAGCAACCACCTCCCCAGCCTCCTCCCTCTTTTTCCCCAAATACTTTTTTGATTAACTATATTTATATTCTGACGCCCTGGACACTGCACAGGAATGACATGAGCTAAGAGCCTTAACTGTGTGTCTTGTAAACACGTCACTCTAGACAAGTGGAGGGGGGGGGGGGGGGAAATTACATTTACAGGGGAATTTGACCCAATCATAAATGTCAGCTTTGTGGCTTCTCAAGATGAAGGGATTAAATCAGTGACGAAAGCTCGGCACAACCACTCACCTTCTATATGTTTGTAGTCGGCGCTGTGGCCTGTCTTGTCCGTCTCCATGGATATAATCCTGTAAAACATCACCAGTTGTATGTCAGTGCAATCCAAATCATATGTACAAGTCACACCAATAACATGGACAGTGAGGTGGAATGGACAATAGAAAGTCAAGTTTTGATGGCATCTTTCCATCTTTCCAACACACTCTGATACCAACTATCGCCAGGGTCGAAGTTCCTTCTCTTCACAAAACATAGGTTGTGCAGTATTGCAGAGGCTATATGTTGCCCAAGTGTCTGGCATGTACAAGAGATACCTAGGTAGTACGTATATATGTGATATACACATGCACTGCCTACTAATGCAGACAGGCTCAAAGTTCTGCAAACAGTCATATCTTAGAGTAGCTGCAGACAAGAAGCACAGTTGTAGACCAGTAAGCAGCAGCTGTATACCAACTATATTAATTGTTCTGTAACATTGGTATACCAGTAATTTCTGTTGGCTAGTAAGTAAAGCAAAGGACCCTTTTGCCACGCCTTTAGGCGTATAGGGCATATAGGGCTAGACCTATATTTTTATAGACCAATCGGCACGAGATGGGTGATGTGGTCAGCATCCCGCTGGCCACCTCTACTTCCCGGGACTGCACCCGGTAGCAACTCAAGGCTGGGTTGACCTGGGAGCTAAAGTCATTTTTTTAAAAAGTCTGACTTGGCCAGGGAGTGAACCGACGACCTGCCGATCCGCGGCGAGTGTCTAGCCGCTTGTTGGCTAGTAACTACATATTAATTTACCTGAGCTGCTTAACCAACCATCAGCTCACGTCAGCCATTGATTAACTCACCTGAGCTACTGAAAAAACTCTCTCAACTCAGCCACTACCTGAGATTTGCTTAACCCTCCATCAACTTACCTCAGCCATTGATCAACTCACTCCGCTAGTGAAAAACATCTAACTGAGAAACTAATTAAATCACCTGAGCTATAAAACCATCGATTAACTCACCTGAGCTGTTCCAATAAGGACTCGCCCTCCCCGACAGTGTTGATGGCAGCTTCCACAGTGGTCTCCCTCTGCTGGGTGAACTGAGCTAGCAGCTGCTCCGCTCCCTCCACATTGTCGGACAGTTCTGTACTCTGAAGTTCTGTGTGCAAATCTTCCAACCAGTTTGTTAACTGCAAAAACACAATGTGCAAACATACACTGAAACATATGATACATGTACATTACTGTGGCTGCCATCCATCAAGTTACACACACATAAGGCATGTGTCACAACTGAAGACAAGGAAAAAAACCAGTGCTCCTGCAAACCAGCCTGGTGACACTTACCTTGTTCCACAGAGGTATCATGACCATCCCTAACAAGTTGTCATCAGACACAGTGAAGAAATTACAAATGACCTCATGGACAGAGGAACAGAATAGAGAGTCTGCGGTCATCCTTGACCAGTGGTAACTGTTACATAACTATGATCATCCTTGACCAGTGGTAATTGTTAAACATATCATCTTGACCATCCTTGACCAGTGGTAATTGTTACAAACATCATCATGACCACCCTTGACCAGTGGTAATTGTTACAAACATCATCATGACCACCCTTGATCAGTGGTAATTGTTACAAACATCATGACCACCCTTTACCAGTAGTAACTGTTACACATATCACCATGACTATCACTGACGAGTAGTCATTGTTACACATATCACCATGACTATCACTGACCAGTAGTAATTGTTACACATATCCCCATGACTATCACTGACCAGTAGTAATTGTTACACATATCACCATGGCCATCCTTGACCAGTAGTAATTGTTACACATATCCCCATGACTATCACTGACCAGTAGTAACTGTTACACATATCACCATGACTATCACTGACCAGTAGTCATTGTTACACATATCACCATGACTATCACTGACCAGTAGTAGTTGTTACACATATCCCCATGACTATCACTGACCAGTAGTAATTGTTACACATATCCCCATGACTATCACTGACCAGTAGTCATTGTTACACATATCACCATGACTATCACTGACCAGTAGTAATTGTTACACATATCCCCATGACTATCCCTGACCAGTAGTAATTGTTACACATATCATCCAACCACCCTTGACCAGTGGTAATTGTTACAAACATCATCATGACCACCCTTTGCCAGTAGTAATTGTTACACATATCACCATGACTATCACTGACCAGTAGTAATTGTTACACATATCACCATGACTATAACTGACCAGTAGTAATTGTTACACATGTCACCATGGCCATCCTTGACCAGTAGTAATTGTTACACATTAAACCATGACCATCCTTGACCAGTAGTAACTGTTACATAACCATGACCATCCTTGACCAGTAGTAACTGTTACATAACCATGGCCATCCTTGACCAGTGGTAATTGTTACATAACCATGACTATCCTTGACCAGTGGTAACTGTTACACATATCATCATGACCATCCTTGACCAGTCATAATTGTTACATAACCATGATCATCCTGACCAGTGGTAATTGTTACATAACCATGATCATCCTGACCAGTGGTAATTGTTACACACATCATCATGACCATCCTGACCAGTGGTAATTGTCACAAACATCACCATGACCATCCTTGACCAGTGGTAATTGTTACATAACCATGACCATCCTTGACCAGTAGTAATTGTTACAAACATCATCATGACTATCCTTGACCAGTGGTAATTGTTACAAACATCACCATGACCATCCTTGACCAGTGGTAATTGTTACAAACATCACCATGACCATCCTTGACCAGTGGTAATTGTTTCAAACATCACCATGACCATCCTTGACCAGTGGTAATAATCATCATGATCATCCTCGACCACTGGTAATTGTTACAAACATCATCATGATCATCCTTGACGTTGTAGTATCATTTGCTAGACTTTGTTGCACTAAGCGTTGTCCATCTGCTTTCGCAATGAACCTAAACACACTTCTTCTGCCTCCCAACACAGAGCAATCTGCACAGATACATCACTGGGACTGGAAATATCATGAATCAATTCTTGAAATATTGATTCTGCAAGTACCTGCTGGCCAATCCCTGTACTCCAGACCAAGTGTGATTAGAACTCCACACAAGGCTGCTTTCTGCTCTGACACTTTGACCAACTTGTCTCCTTTCCCAATTGTTTTGTCCCAACATACATACATCTCTAATTGTGTCTTCTGCTGGTGCCATCCAAGATTTCCCTGTGACCCTTAGCTATATCCAAGGCTTCTCCAAGAATGTGGTTTCTGTCAGCAGTTACCCTGAGATATGACCTGGCTTGCACCACCTTGAGCCTGTCTACAACAGTCTGTAGCGGACCAGTGGTAATCAGACACAGTCAAGCAACTACAAACAACTGACCTCATGAACATGGGAGTAGAAGACAACTGTCATGTCCAGCACCGCCCGGCGTCGCTCTAGCGAGGTCAAGAATCCATGCATGCGCTGCTCCAGTTCGTGAGCTTCGCTATAAATCTCGGTAGCATCACACTCGCCAGTCTGAGCCAGTTCATCAGCAGCTGCCAGTAACTTCTCTGCATTTGTGATTGTGTTCTATAAGATCAAACATATCACAACCATTAGGTGATAACATAGGAAAACATGACAACATAGGAAACGCTAAATACAACATAAAATGTGACAAAAAAAAGCTCAATGGAGTAATGGAAAAGACACACAAATACAACCAAATGCTTTGACCAAAGTCTGTATCAACGGAGTACTAAATATGAGGGATGGTAAACAAAATAATGCATCTTATTTTTGTTTCTATGTAAAAACTGTATCTGTGTGCAATTTGTTAATAGCAGGATTCTTCAAAAACTTTTCTGCACTGAATTAGCATTACTATCCTGCTTCAGTAACGGATGGCTATAGTGAATTGGTTTTAAAATGGCTACCAAAGATGTTCGGTTGAAACAACATGATGTCAGAGAATTTCTCAATGTTGACTGCAAGACCCTAATTCACATCCATGAACATGTGAAGAATGTTTATGGAGATTCAACAGTGGATGTTAGCATTGTCCGACGCTGGGTACACGGTTGTGATGAAGCTGAAACAGGTCAATCCTCAATGGCTGACGCAAAGTGAACTGGCTGTCCATCGATCACAGTTACTTCAAATAACATTCATCAAGTTAATCACGCAATTCAATTCAGGCTGACTGTCAGGCAATACTGTTGTCAGGGTCCTATGTGGCTATGAGATGTCATAGTACGATGATGATAAATCAGCAGGTTAGCACTCAGTTGATCAAGACCTGATCGAGCGTTCAGTGACATGCAAAGATGGCTACCAGATCAATGTGTCTGGGTGAGGTCACTCACGGTTTTGAGTGACCAGGCCTGAACTTGACAAAAGGACCGGAGATAGGGTCTTTTGGGAAGAGATTTATGAGAGAATTTTGACAGAACAGATGCTGTAGCTGACTGTTAGATATTTACAGTGTTAGTTATAGATTAGCGACATGTGTTTGTGTAGCACTTGTTCAGTCGGATGGTAGGATATGTACAGTGTTAGCTGGTGTTTAGCTGTTGTGTTAACTTGCATAGCAATCCATCTGTGTATCAAAATTGCTTCAGCGAAAGTGCTTTCGCACAAGCTTTAGTATAGTTAGGTGATGGGGTCTATCCACTTATACCAGCTGTGTGGTACCTCAAAAGTTTTACTGTACTGTAAGGTGCAGGAGCTTCAGAAAGAACTTGCAGGGGGTCTGTCTGGTTTGGACCTGTATCAAAGCCATAAGGGCGTGAGGGGCAGGTGTACAACACGTTGGGTAACAAGAACCACTTTGGCCCAGGTAAACTGAAACATTGCTATTTGTAACTTATGATAAAGACATATGTGTGTATGCTCTGATGGTGGTTTAGTTGTGTTTAGGGGTAGTCTGTTTGAGCCTACCAACGAGTCATATGCCTTCACAACAGTAAAGTAGGTTCCTGACAACTGTAATACAGGGATTAACACAATTTACAGTCTTATATGTTTTTATCAGCACAATCCACAGTCTTATATGTTCTATTCAGCACAATTCACAGTCTTATATGTTTTAATCAGCACAATCCACAGTCTTATATGTTCTAATCAGCACAATCCACAGTCTTATATGTTCTATTCAGCACAATCCACAGTCTTATATGTTCTATTCAGCACAATCCAGTCTTATATGTTCTATTCAGCACAATCCACAGTCTTATATGTTCTATTCAGCACAATCCAGTCTTATATGTTCTATTCAGCACAATCCACAGTCTTATATGTTCTATTCAGCCCAATCCACAGTCTTATATGTTCTATTCAGCACAATCCAGTCTTATATATTCTATTCAGCACAATCCACAGTCTTATATGTTCTATTCAGCACAATCCAGTCTTATATGTTCTAATCAGCACAATCCACAGTCTTATATGTTCTATTCAGCATGATCCAGTCTTATATGTTCTATTCAGCACAATCCAGTCTTATATGTTCTTATCAGCACAATCCACAGTCTTATATGATCTATTCAGCACAATCAAGTCTTATATGTTATCAGCACAATCCAGTCTTATATGTTCTAATCAGCACAATCCACAGTCTTAAATGTTTTAATCAGTACAATCCAGTCTTATATGTTCTAATTAGTACAATCCACAGTCTTAAATGTTCTAATCAGCACAATCCACGGTCTTATATGTTCTAATCAGCACAATCCACAGTCTTATATGTTCTAATCAGCACAATCCACAGTCTTATATGTTCTAATCAGCACAATCCACAGTCTTATATGTTCTAATCAGCACAATCCACAGTCTTATATGTTCTTATCAGCACAATCCAGTCTTTAATGATCTAATCAGCACAATCCACAGTCTTATATGTTCTTATCAGCACAAATCCACAGTCTTATATGGTCTAATCAGCACAATCCAGTCTTATATGTTCTAATTAGCACAATCCAATTTTATTATTGTAATTAGCACAATCCAGTTTTATATGTTCTAATTAGCACAATCCATTTTTATATGTTCTAATTAATCAGCACAACCCACAGTCTAATATGTTCTAATCAGCACAATCCACAGTCTAATGTTCTAATCGGCACAACCCACAGTCTAATGTTCTAATTAATTAGCACAACCCACAGTCTAATGTTCTAATTAATTAGCACAACCCACAGTCTAATGTTCTAATTAATTAGCACAACCCACAGTCTAATGTTCTAATTAATTAGCACAACCCACAGTCTAATGTTCTAATTAATCAGCACAACCCACAGTCTAATATGTTCTAATCAGCACAATCCACAGTCTAATGTTCTAATCAGCACAACATACAACAGTGAATTTTCCAGTCAGCTATGTGTCAGGACACCAGCAAGTGATTTTACTAGTCTGAGAGTGGAAACAACTATGACAATAACAGGCAAGGGTGTTTATTTGACAAGCAAACTCACAGACACTGCTTCAGATACACCAGCAAGATTGTCAAACACTGATTTTACTAGTCTGAGAGTGGAAACAACTATGACAATAACAGGCAAGGGTGTTTATTTGACAAGCAAACTTACAGACACTGCAGCAGATACACCAGCAAGTGATTTTACTAGTCTGAGAGTGGAAACAACTATGACAATAACAGGCAAGGGTGTTTATTTGACAAGCAAACTCACAGACACTGCAGCAGATACACCAGCAAGATTGTCAAACACTGATTTTACTAGTCTGAGAGTGGAAACAACTATGACAATAACAGGCAAGGGTGTTTATTTGACAAGCAAACTCACAGACACTGCAGCAGATACACCAGCAAGATTGTCAAACACTGATTTTACTAGTCTGAGAGTGGAAACAACTATGACAATAACAGGCAAGGGTGTTTATTTGACAAGCAAACTCACAGACACTGCAGCAGATACACCAGCAAGATTGTCAAACACTGATTTTACTAGTCTGAGAGTGGAAACAACTATGACAATAACAGGCAAGGGTGTTTATTTGACAAGCAAACTCACAGACACTGCTTCAGATACACCAGCACATGTCACCTTCACATTTCAACATGAGGAAGTTATACAACGTCCAGGGACAACCTTAAAATGTAACAACTGCCTGGTGACTAGCCCAGGTGAAGTGGGAAGTGAATTATCGCATTATGCACAGGAGCAGGTAACTTTATGGACCTTGACTAATGTTTTAATGTTTTGAATAAACTGTGTCAATTATGTCCCTTTCTAACAAACAACAAGAATGGTTGAAGGTAGCGGATAGCTGCTCTTAGTGTTCACCGGCTGTAGACTCTAGTGGACAGATCTGTTTATTTATCCACTTCTGGACTGTTTCACAGATCTGTTTATTTATCCACTTCTGGACTGTTTCACAGATCTGTTTATTTATCCACTTCTGGACTGTTTCACAGATCTGGCTTTTACAGGCTAATTGTTTCTTGCATTTCTCAGGCCCATGCACTCCGACTTCACAGGTAATGAACCTAATCAGTCACCTATTACAGCACACCTGTTAGCAGGGCAGTGGGTCCATTCTTGTTTACACCCAAAATAGGGCCAGGGAATCCACACATGGACTGTAGCAGGTGGCAGTGTAGACCACTCATCCCCTCTGTAATTCACAGTGGTGAACCTTCATCACTACTATCAGTCACGTGTTTCTGTTCATATCTACCTCTTCCTGTGTGCCTAAATTGTTAGTAAGATACCATAATTAAGCAAGAGATGGAACCATGGCTTCAAGAACAGACTTATACTATGCATTAGAAAGAGCAGGCAGAAAATCCTTTGATGAGGTAACTGGATGAAGAAGAGACAGAGAAAGAGGAGGAGGAGGAAGAAGAAGAAGATAAAGAAGAAGAAGAAGATAAAGAAGAAGAAGAAGAAGAAGAAGAAGAAGAAGAAGAAGAAGAAGAAGAAGAAGAAGAAGAAGAAGAAGAAGAAGAAGAAGAAGAAGAAGAAGAAGAAGAAGAAGAAGAAGAAGAAGAAGAAGAAGAAGAAGAAGAAGAAGAAGAAGAAGAAAGGAGAAGAAGAAGAAAGGAGAAGAAGAAAAAGGAGGAGGAGGAGGAAAAGAAGAAAAAGACGAAGAACAAGAAGCTGTAACAAGAACAAGAAAGAGTTAAAGAAGGAAAAGAGGAGGCGGAAGGAGAAAAGAGGAAGAGAGAGAAGAAGTGGTGGAAGTAGTAGCAGCAGCAGCAGTTAAAGAAAAATACACTAGAATGTATATAAATGAGTCGCTGTTAAAAAAAAAGTTAAAATATATGTGACAAAGACTTACCCTGGCCACTGACTCAAAATGTTCATGGCTTTTCTGCAATGCCTTTGCTCGTTGTAACGACTTGCCAATTGAGGTATTTTTCTTGAGGAAAACATCGCCGTGGTTGTTCAGCCAATCAATTACCTAAGTCAAGACAAAGGTGAGATGTTAACATAGGCAAGACTGTCTCAACACTGCTTGTTTTGACAATCAATGGGCTCTTTACAGTTTTAACAGAGCATAAGGTGTTTCTTGTGTCTGTTTTTCTTTCTCTCCAGGCTACTTTCTGAAGGTTTGAAACTCTCAAATCACACAATCTTAATCTGAATGGTTGACCTACAGGACAATTTCCAGATACTCTGTTCAATCTCTAAAGAAGTTAAAAGTGGGAAATCTCAATGGCTACACCATCTCGGTGTAATCTTCTGTATGCTCTTTGTAATGAGCCGCATAAGTTGGCCTTTATTTCTTTATGACTGTTCTTGAGGCTACAAGTTCTTTTTCTTTTTTTTTTTCTCTAATCCCTGTTCTGCCTTTCAAAGTGAGGTTCTGAAGAGGCATCTGGTAAAAGCCTCTGTGTGTGCCACATTGATGCTGGTATTTGCGACTTGATATTTCATCTACTCACTGCTTATATGGGCAACCTCCAGCTCTGCTTCCATTGTACCTAAGTGACACAGCTGTCTGGTGCCCTCTCCTGTGACATACTGCTGATGTCACATGCTTTGGTAAGGGTTTTCCCTGATAAAGCAATTAGCACTCTGAAGTAGTAATAAAATGTTGAGATGTTGGCTCGCAAAGTTCTAGGCCAAATCCCGCAGCTCCAACCAACATCCAACCAACTTCAGGGGTGAGGCGACGCAAATTATGGCACTACAGAACATTAAATATTTCTAGGCACAACTTGGCCTGACTTCCTCACTACTTCAGTTAAGCCCACAAACTAGATAGTATTCTATCCTTGTCAAGATAACACAGTTAAACAGATAGTATATCAATACTGCACACACTCCAGGCAACTAGGAACAGTAAAAGATGGACACTAAACCTTGAATGGAACATTTACAACACATTCTGTAATTAGTATAACCAATACAAGGATAAGGCCAAAGAATTCAATGAAATCAATGACACTCAGGAGACAAAGACAATTCATATATGACTAGAACAAGGGTTGCTCCCAGCAACGGCCAAGGTCTTCATGGCACTGTTGTGAAATCATGGCACTGTTGTGAAATCATGGCACAGTGGACTAAGCACTTCGGATTAAGAGTGACTACAACCTCTGGAATATAACTCATCTGTTTCCAAGTCCGGTCCACTGTAGCACATCACTTCTGCATCTGGGATGGTTGGCACCAAGGTACTGTTCAGTCTTCAGTACCTTAACTGCTGCAACTGTTCACAATGTATAATATTGCCTATTGTCACCAATCATGTAGACAACAATGGCAGGCAACCTCTGGCTTCACCCTACAGCTCCCTAGGGATGGATCTCTCCCAATGGTACTGTTGGTCACTACCTGGGCCTAGGACCAGACATGTGGGCAGGCCCCATGGTGGTATCTTCTAGCAGCTGGTGGTGAAGATAGCTGGTGATGTGGATGGATGATGATTGTCGATCTGGTCTCCAAGGAAATTAAACTCTCAAGCTCTGGATTCTTCTATTTGGACAGAAATAAGCAAAAAAAAACAAAAAATGCGTCCCTCCACGATGGAGACTTGATCGAGAATAGTTCTGACACAAGGGACAAATTCACTCACCCCAGGTGGTAATATGCCCATAGATTTGGGCAATAATTACCAATGAACCTCTCACCTACGATCATAAATTCAAAACTATAACATTCCCAAGAGAAGTAGGACATATAAGAGTACTTAACTCGACCCAAAGACCTATATTTACAAAAGATTGACTATATACCTATAGAGGCAGGTCTATTTTTAAACTTAGCCTCATCTGCACAGAGGTGACAGTATCTAGACAAGTCCAAGATAAAGGGGTGGCTTGCACTGTTAGGTGACATCTCCTATGGTAGTCTTCTTCTTTGCGTTCACTGGCTGTAAACTCCAGTGGACAGTTCTGGCTGTTCGTCCGCCTCTGGACTTTTTCGTGTTCCAGAACTGGCTTATTTATATGCAGACTCTTGGTTCCTTGCCTCTCAGGCAGACGCACTGCTACAACATGCTCGGTGGAGAGGCAGTGGGTCTATTCTTGGTGTCCTACAAGGTGCCCCGGCACCCACACAGGGAATGGCTGTCTTTATTGTGCCTTTTACCTGTCCATTGTGTTCTCAATATTCTTCTGCATTCTTTCTGTAAATACGTCAAATTTTCCTACGACCTTGGAACCCAGGTAGACTAAGCCTAAAATGGGAGCCAGAAGTTATCCTGGGAAGTAAGCGCATCCACCATCGAGTACCTATTCATTAAAAAATATGCCACATATGACTGCTGGCATGAAAAAGATCTTATACGCAGAAGTCAAACGCAAACAGACATACACATAATAGTGAAGAAATACCACTAGATACCTGTAAACATCAGTACAAAACAGTGCCCACACAAGTAAAGATTATCACAAAATGCTTGGAATACTTCTTCTTCTCATTCTTATTCTCCCAGACAGTGATTTTCATAAAAAGTTACAGGTCTCCATAAAGTTTGGTTTCCACACATGAAATGCTAACATGCTAGACCGGATGTCTGTAGCATATGTTCTGTATTCTGAGGTGCATGAGCCCAGTCTTGAATGTCTTGTATAGATGGCTGTGGAGTCTGTTGTGTCCAATCTAAATACCCACACTGTTGCCCTCAGCTCTCAATGCTCACCTGCTTGACATCTTGTTGGAACAACCTCAGTCCTAAACGCTGGTGTAGCTTCACCTTCTTGCCGTGCCAGATTTGTTCCAGGTGTCTCTGGTGAGCTAGCACCTGCAGACACACAAGTGTTTATAAAGATGCAAAGATACTCTTAAAACAATCTTTATCCAACTACATTAAACAATGTTTATAAAGACGCAAAGATACTCTTAAAACAATCTATCCAACAACATTAAACAGTGTTTATAAAGAGGCAAAGATACTCTTAAAACAATCTATCCAACAACATTAAACAGAGTTTATAAAGAGACAAAGACACTCATAAAAACAGTCTATCCAACGTTTTTTTTAAAAAGGCAAAGACACTCTTAAAACAATTGATCCAACTACATTAAATAATGTATATAAAGAGCAAAGAACTCTCTTGAAACAATCATGAGAATAAAATGGGGAGAGACGACAGCAATATTTACAAACCAGAATATGACCACATTAGAAAGCTTGGCAGAAAAAGGCCAAATAAAATGTGTGAGACAGAATGGGACACTGTCAACTCAAAATACACCAAATCTTGTATGGGTCTCGTTGACTCTGACACATGAGCTTTGAGTTAAGAGCCAACAACACAGCACTTGAGACATTTCCATAAGTACTCCGTCTCCATCTCCAGCTGCAAGTGCAGATTTCCAATTCAACTGGTATCAGGAACAGCGTGATTGTATGTCCATCTCGCCCCTCCCATAAATGTTAGGCATTAGCCATATCCCCTGGGCACCCCTCGCTGTAGCACTCTCTTCAGACTATAATGATCTATTTGTGCTCAGAACTGTTTACTCGCTCCCAAAGTGCCCTAACAACAACTAGTCTGTCACGCATTAATTTATCACCAAGGGGTGCAAAACCAGCCAATCTATTGCCTGTTCATTTTCCAACACGTCAGCATAGCCTCAATGAAATATCCTAAAGATGCTAAATAGCCTAGATCCTCTGAAGTGATGCTGGCATTCTGCACAGAGCATACCTGTGTCCACCTTTCTTGGAATGCTCTCCAAGTCAGTTACACTTATGACATGTGTGTGTAAATGTGTGTAAATGCCACATGCATTTGTTGTGCATCACAGCAAACTCAAGAGAATGTCTTGCAGGACTGCCAAAACCAAAGTCAACTTCAGAGAAAAGAAATAAGCAACGGCCTGAAAGACAAACTAAGGGGAACTGATGAAGACCTTCAGTGCACCATCCTGTTTGAAACCCCTTGTTGGTAGTCATACAGCAATCGCTAATTGAATGTAATGTACACTCAACGCTGCTAAATGCTGCAGAGATCTGGACAATGAATGAACAAGTCATTAGAAAATTTAACTAAGTCTCTGGAGATGTGGATTTACAGAAGAATAGGTCGTATTAATGGAAACAAACATAATTAATTACAGAGATTATGGAGAAACCAGAAAGAAAAAAGGATTGCTGAATAAAATGTTTAATAAAAGTCAAGGTAAAAATACTCTGCTACATTAAAATACATAACATTCTTCACAAAACCATACGGAGGAAAAAAAGCTGACAGCAACAGATCAAAACGTAGACAGTGAATTTAGTGGGATGACAATACAAAGCACAGAAAGTGGGATGACAACAAAAAGCACAGAAAGTGGGATGACAACAAAAAGAACAGAAAGTGGGATGACAACAAAAAGCACAGAAAGTGGGATGACAACAAAAAGAACAGAAAGTGGGATGACAACAAAAAGCACAGAAAGTGGGATGACAATACAAAGCACAGAAAGTGGGATGACAACAAAAAGCACAGAAAGTGGGATGACAACAAAAAGAACAGAAAGTGGGATGACAACAAAAAGCACAGAAAGTGGGATGACAACAAAAAGAGCAGAAAGTGGGATGAAAACAAAAAGAAGAGAACCTTATATCTCCCTCAACACTTGAAGTGATAAAAGAGGAAGTAAAGAAGAAGCAGAAATAAAGTCAATAGGGCAGACTTCATTTGAATGAATGAATGAATTAATTTTAAAAATGACATCACTGCACTCGATACATAACTTGATTAAAAAGTTCATCTCTGTTTCCTTTATAAGGTTAAATATCTTCCAGAACCTATACACTCCCCCCCCCCCCTCACCCCCACCCCCCCCCCCCCCCCCCCCTAAAAATTTATTTCAGTTTATGGATTCCCTATTTATTCTACGGCACTATCCATCTGATCCTATCTCATCACCCAGAGCAGTGGCAGCAGCTAATCTATCATCCTGTTCATTGCCTCGCACACCTGAATGTCCTGGACAGAAACTCCATCATACGCTCTTGATTTGGGTCTTATTAAATGATGCAAGCCACTCTGCACTCAGGACACCAGTTTCAAACTTCTGAAGCATGCCCTGTGCGTGTGTGTGTTACAATTACAACATGATCTAATCCTTCCTCATCTCCAGCACCTAAAGGTAACAGATCTGAAGTCTTTATAATCAATTTCAACAGTGTTAACTATTAAAGGAAAAGGTAACAGTTTAGTCAAGAGAGACAACCCACCTCATGAACAACATCTAAAACATGTCCTGCTGCCTCAGAGTAGTCTGCCTTAGCAGTAATAGAATTTGCACTGCTAGAGGCCACCGGAGTTTGTAATGTGTCTAATAAAGCTTTCCCATCACCACAAACCTGCAAGTCAAAACAATACATTCTTCTAGAAACTGTTTTATTATAGATACACACACAAAAACAAGATTCTTCACTGACCACAAAACAAACTCTGATATTTTCTTTTAGTTCTTCTTCAACCATATCTCAAAACAGCAAAGGTCCTTAACCAACCCAACCAACCAACCCACCAAACCTTGTTTAGACTTTTCTTCTTCTGCCTTCTCCCTTAAAGGGACAGCTGGTGTATTGCAGTTTACAGCTTGGTTGTGACATCTGCATCTTTCAGCCAAACACATCCAATTTTAGCAAGTCCACAATAAGTCAAACTTTCAGGACATGCTTGTTATCTATGTTTTCAGGGGTTTTGACCCACAGAAATGCAGCCCTGGAACCAGCCTTAGCAGGAGGCCCTGGAACCAGCCTTGGGAGGAGACCCTGAAACCAGCTTTGGGAGGAGACCCTGGAACCAGCCTTGGCAGGAGGCCCTGGAACCAGCCTTGGGAGGAGGCCCTGGAACCAGCCTTGGGAGGAGACCCTGGAACCAGCCTTAGCAGGAGGCCCTGGAACCAGGATTGGGAGGAGACCCTGGAACCAGCCTTGGGAGGAGACCCTGGAACCAGCCTTGGGAGGAGACCCTTGAACCAGCCTTCGGAGGACTTGTTCATGATAGCTTGGATTTTGTAGTCATCATCTTTTACATGTCGTCCCGAGAACACCGGTTTTTCAACTTTTATGGGTTTTGTATGCCAAAATGTCTTTGAGCAGTTGTCAGTGTGCCTTTATAATAGCTTTGGTACTGTTGCAACTGAACAGTGGCCGGCAAATACTGGAAGAAATATCCTAAAGGCGCTAACTAACCTGGACCTCTGAAGCGAGAATGATTAAATTTATTACATTTACAGACATTATTTGGGGTGAAAGTTGATTTTTTTGTCACTGTGACGTCATAATAAACTTGTGATAAAGTCACTTTGCTTTTTCTGGCTGTGTCAACACAAACGTCTCCTTTATGTAGGCAGGACTTTTTCATGTCTTAACAACAGATGCCTTCAACATTTTCAAAAACTTTCTGTCCTCATATACCTCACTAATCCTCTGCTTTTATGTTTGGATATCTTTTCATGATATTTTTTTTTAAAAACACACACATTTTTCCTTGGGGTAAGTGAGTTTCAGCTCTGAGGACAAATAAGGACATCTACAGAAAAGACCACCCACCTCTGCATAAGTCTGGCTGATTGTTTCAATGAGATTCTGATGCCGCTGAAGGGCTTCCTCCAGATCTTCTATTGCCGAGGGGATTTTCAGGTTCTCACAAGTGTTCTGCCACACGATCACTTGAGCTAGATACTGGAAGCAGACACATGAACACAGTGTCGTTACAACGAGCAAAGGCATTGCAGAAAAGCCATGAACATTTTGAGTCAGTGGCCAGGGTAAGTCTTTGTCACATATAACACACAGCATCCTTTCAGTTTTCAGGTTGCATTTCCTATTCCTACGATGAGGCTGGAACCCTCCTATATGTACTCTTCTGCCCTTAGCCATTGGCACAAGTGACTTCTGTTAAATGGTAGCACCGTCATATCTGACCAAGTTAACAGAGAACAGGTAGTATCAACTTCTGGTAAATGGTAGCACCATCATATCTGACCAAGTTAACAGAGAACAGGTAGTATCAACTTCTGGTAAATGGTAGCACCATCATATCTGACCAAGTTAACAGAGAACAGGTAGTATCAACTTCTGGTAAATGGTAGCACCATCATATCTGACCAAGTTAACAGAGACCAGGTAGTATCAACTTCTGGTAAATGGTAGCACCATCATATCTGACTAAGACCTGACTACATCATTCAGTTGCAAAAGCTAAATATTTTATTTGTACTTCTTAGTATCTGTTAGCCTGAAGACACCCCCCCCCTTTTCTTCCCAGATCTAAATGACCAAGCCATCCCAGTATTTATGTCATCGCTTTTTTCTTATGCTCTTTTTCCCCACAGTCAATCTTACCAGTTGTCAATTATCATTAATCAGCCCTGCATGTGATTGTCTCAGTCACTGAACTTATAATTAATCAGCTCTATATGTGATAATCTCAGTGAACATATCACTAATGAGCCCTTTACGTGACTGCCTCAGTCAGTGAACAGATCTTTAATCAGCCCTGTATGTGATGGCCTCAGTCAGTGAACAGATCTTTAATCAGCCCTGTATGTGATGGCCTCAGTCAGTGAACAGATCTTTAATCAGCCCTGTATGTGATGGCCTCAGTCAGTGAACAGATCTTTAATCAGCCCTGTATGTGATGGCCTCAGTCAGTGAACAGATTTTTAATCAGCCCTGTATGTGATGGCCTCAGTCAGTGAACAGATCTTTAATCAGTCCTGAACGTGATTGTCTCAGTCTGTGAACATATCAACAATCATCTGTGTCTAAGATTACCTCAGCATCTTTACCTATGAACTTACCATTAACCAGCCCTGTATGTGGTTATCTCAGGGCCTGGTGGTCAAAGGTGTGGCAAGCAAGCAAGAGACAGGGATGCACGAGGGAGGATACCATCAAGAGAGGAATAAACAGCAGTATGAGAGAATGTACCTCCAGAGCGATAGACAAAGTGAGTTGGATATTCACTGCAGTCAGTCCTCACTGTGGAGACTGACTGACTCATTAAGTGACTGATGAATGAACTGCAATGTCCAGTAATACAATCCAGAAAGAGTGATGAACATAGGGAAAGAAGAAGGACCACTTATACAGAAATCAAGCTACAATCTGGTAGTACAGTACCTGTTCTGCTCGCTTGTGAAACACCACAGACATATGTAGCACCGTGCTCCTGTCCTCCAGGGCAGCAGCTAAGCTCTTCCACTCCCTCTCCAGCCGGCCTCCTTCCATCCTGATGGTGTTGGAGGCATAATGACCAGAGTCACACATTCGTTGAGCCATCCCCAGGATTCTTGTGATATTTACATAAACATTCTGAACATAAGAGGGACAGAAAAAAACAATTGTAAAGAATGCCACAGTGATAAATGCCAAGATTATTCTGTTTTACTTCTCCTCTTTCTCCTCCTCCTCCTCCTCCTCCGTCTCCTTTGTTTATTCTTAACCCTGACATTCCGGGAAAGCCATTTTTCCTATATTTATGGGTTTTTTCATGACACTGTCGTTAGATAGTGGCCATAATGCCAGTATAACAGCCTAGGTACTGGCTGCAACTGTTAGAACCTGAAAAACTAGGACTCAAATGAAGTCGGATATTTTAATTCTTTTAGTATGAGGAAATGTACCATAATTTTACTTATTACCACTCACTGTCATAAATAATATACATTTATGAATTTCATTTTGATCAGATCTTACAATAATCTATTCTATTTAACCATTACTTTAACTCCTTGTGTCCATCATTTATTCTAGTCAACAATTACTTTAACTCCTTGTGTCCTATCGTCTAGTCTATTCAACCATTACTTTAACTCTTTGTGTCCCATCCTCTATTCTTTTCAATCATTACTTTAACTGCACTTAGTTTTGTGTAATTCATTACTGTGATTTTTCTTAAGTTTTGTGTAATTTATCTACTTTATTACCAGTGACATAGAGTACCTGCTGCCTGGGTTTTATGTAATTTACTTACTGTACTTTTCCTAGTTTGTGTGACTTATCATTCCCCGGTGTTGTGTAGGTTATCTATTGTATTACTATATATAAAATTTCTATCAGTTTATTCTTCTTCTTCTGCGTTCGACATCAGTCATGCTAAACATTGAGTCCTGTCTGGGTCACAAATAGGATTGTGCGTTTAAGGTCATCACAGGTCCCCCATAGCTTCTCTTGCAATGTGGCTCCCTTGGGCCAGATCCACAGTCTTTGCTGGGAGAGGTAAGGGCAGTACTGTAGTATGTGCTCAGGGGTCTGTCTTTCTGCTCCACAATCACAGACAGCAGATTCTTTTATGCCTATCTTGTACAGGTGTGCTCGAAGACCACAGTGTCCAGTCCGAAGTCTAAAAATTGATGTTTGTTCTTTCCTGTTGAGTTTCTTTATGCTGTCACTCTCTGGTCTGTAATCTCCATTCTGCCTTCTCCACTCTCGCTTAAAAGACTGCTTTAGCGCTGTTTTGGTTTCCTTGTAGCTGTGTGGTGGATGAGGTTGTGGAAGATTACTCCCAGCTTTTGCCAACTCATCTGCTCTCTCATTTCCTTATTTCTATCAGTGCTGTATATTTTATTTATTACTAGCTGCACCCGGCCACGCGTTGCTGTGGCATAGTTTGACTAATTGGAAATGAAAGAAAATAGAAATCACACGTGTCTAATACAATCATTGTCGGCTCAGATATAAAAATAGTCTTTGATTTCCCCCCCCCCCTCCCACCACAACTAAATCCACCTACTACTCTCTCCCTCATCAAAGGTTTTTGGAAAAGAAAGACAATAGAAATCACATATAGTTAATGTCGCAATCATTCTCTGCACAGATATAGAGATAGTCTGGTTTTCCAACTTTAGAAAACACACCATATAATTGTGTCTTTATATTAGTGGTCGTTTAAATGGTGTATTAGCACAGTAACAAAAATGGTTATTTGGTTATCACATGCTAAAGCTGTATTTTTATAGGAGATGGAAGTAAAGCTACAGCTGTACATGTAAATACTAAAGCCAGTCGTAAATAAATTGAATAGAGGAGGTTGCGTTAGTAAAATATAAACAAATTAAGTAATGAGAACTTGAAAAATCACGTGTAAAGCTCTTTAAGTTCTCTTAAATTTAGGTCATTACACACCACCCCTCCCCTCTTCCACCGACTACTGCTCTCTCCCTCTTCGAAGGATTTAAAAATCATCACCTGGCGATATTTTGCTGTTGTTGTAACTGACATTGACATCCCTGTCAATCCGGACTAAAATGGGGAGCTAAAATGGGGAGCAGGAATTGTAATAGGTAGTGAATGGGGCTAGTGTAATATTTACCACATTATCCTTCAAGTACCAGTACAACTACTACCACGACCACCACCACAGTAGCTAAAATAATGTCACTGCTATCTGTTTTACCATCGGAGTAGACAGGGAGTCGTGAGCCAGAAGAATTGGTGCCGCATAGCTAGTGCTGTCGCCATGGACTGGTCAGGTTATGATGCATAATTTTGCTCCCCGACAGAAGAACGCCATAACCTTACCGGCGGTCTTCACATGAAAGCACTACGGTGTAACAGCCCAACCACAACTACTACTGCAGCTGTTTCTTCGAGTGGGTAAAGCAGTTACTGTGACTTAAAGCTCTCTCAGTAAACAGTTTGCACCCCCCCCCCCCCCCAATTCACCGACTACTCTTTCCCTCATTGAAGTAGTTGGGAGAAAAAAACCAATTGAAAAGCTGAAAACTACCAATTTAGGAATGAACGCTATGGTAAACAGCACAGCTTAAAATTCTAACACAGATGAAATAATTAAATCTAAATGAAAAATAAATGGAAAGCTATGAAATTTCAGCGTAAACATTTGTAAAGTTTAAAAATGAAATCATAAGTGTGCGAAATGGTCAAATTTAATTATCAACTGATTTACCCACATACCTGTTCCCCCACAAGTTTTTCAGAGGTCTAGCCAAAAAACAGGGAGCATTTTTTCAGTGAATTTGGTTATTACAGATTTCTGTTTTCTGACCCCTCATTGAAGTAGTTGAAGTTCATGATTTTCAACAATAAAAATTAATTGATGTATATGCAAATTAAGCATAAATAAAAATAGAAAATAAATTTGAATTTTCACTTCAATACTTGAAATTAAAAATGACACAAAATTTTTTTTTATGGTAAACTTTGGCCCCTTTTTGCAAATGTTGTAAAAATTCAATAGTCAAAAACAGGTACATAAAATGAAACAGCAAAATATCTTTAGGTGAATGTGTTTTCACCATCAGTCAGCAAGCACAAGAAATGCCGGAGTGTCAACAGTGGATATAAAAACAAATTGGGCTGTGGCGAACACAACAGCGTCCCCAAATTCCCACTATTACTACTAACACTAAATCCTGCATTATCAACAGAATTAGTGTCATCGCTTGATTCCTGTTTTATCAACATCAAGTTTAGGGGCAGAAACATACGAGTCAGACATACTTTTTCAGGTCACTATCCAAAAAATTCAACACAAATTTTCACTTCGATACCAAACACTCGAAAGTCGTATTAAAGCTGATACAGCAGTTAATATAAATGGCTCAGTGCAAAATAGGAGATTTCTTAGCGGCCGAGGCGCGAAACAGCCGATGATCGGCCGCAGGTGGAGGACATCCGCCGGCCGATAATTTCCGTGCTAAGAGGGTTAAGGGCCACATGGCTAGTGCTGTCGCCACGACAGTGCAGGTGAGGATTTTATTTTAGCCCCGGTAAAAAAAAAACACTACTGTGGATTCGAACCCTGGTCTCCCGGACAGGAGCCCAGTGTTCTAACCATTCGACCAAGCAGCCACTTCGTAGGAGAAACGAAAAGAGAACAAAACTATTTGAGATGTGTGTCCCTACTACAGTGTCCCGATTATAATAAAACTCAAAACAGCAGGCAATTGTTTTCTCACAGACAGATATTCCAGATATATTATTGAAATGGCACAACAATAGAAATCGCACGTGTCTAACACGGTTAATGTCGCAGTCAATGTCTGCGCCGACGCCGAGATAGGCCTTGATGCCCCCCCCTCCCCTTCCCCTTCCAATCCATCGGCTACTTACCAACTCATCGAAGGTTGTTTGAAAAAAAAACTGAAAATAGAAATCGTGTTTAATATGGTTATTGTGGCAATCATTGCCTGCACAGATATAGAGATAGTCTTGTTTGCTGTACCACGGCCTTTTCTACTTATTAGAGAAGGCGTTGGCTGTACGTATCTCGCCGTCGAATGGTGGAAGTCTTGCGTTCTGACTACGGCGCATGTGCATTTACTAACGTGGCTATAATTAACTGTCACTAAAAATGTAAATATTACTTACGAAGATTTTCCCAAAAATTGTCACACACTATCTCTAACAATGATAGGTTGAATTTCAAACCATGATGGGTGAACATCCGGTATCAAAACAAACATATCCTGTAAATTTCAGCTAAATCGGTTCAGTAGTTTCCGAGTCTATAGCTCATAAACAAACACACAAACATTGATTTTTATATATATAGATATTTCACCAGTGGTGTGTAATTATTCTATTATATTTCCTCCAATTCTGTGCAAGTTATCTACTATACTTCCTTCAATGTTATGTAATTTATCTACTAATGTTATCCCTCAGTGTTGTGCAGTTTAACCACTCTTACTTCCCTACAATGTTGTCAAACACAAGTTTCAATAAAATAACTTCGAACCTCAGCACTGGTTGCAAACTGGCAGTGTTCCGACTCTAACTCGACCGCCATGTGATGACAAGTGCCGATCTCTGTGTAGTTGACCAGAAACAGGTCTCTGTTGTGTCGTATCCAATCAAACATCTGCAGACAGTCACAGAAACAGGCATTTCAGTGTTTCTATACTAGTAATATAAAATCCTAACAGTCACTTCCTTATTTCATTTCTGCTCTGCAATCTTTTTCTTTCGCAACATCATCAAATCTTCTAAACTTTTATTTTCTCAATACCACCAAATATTCAAAACTCTGAGTAGAGTTGAGTTGAGTCACCAATTGACATCACAGCACTTGGGGCATTCCCATGCATGCTCCATCCTCTTCTTCAGCAGTCAGCGCAGAGTTCCAATACTGATGGTACCAGTCACAATCTGTCAAAACTCTTCTTCTTTTAGCATCAATAAATGTTTTAATCTCTCACCTTTGAACAACACCAGATGTTCTAAAATCTCTCAACATCATCAAATTCTAATGCTTCCAATAATTACGTGATCATCAAATGGTTCAACTTGGCACAATTACACAATTAATCAGTTGCTCTAACTTCGCACAATTACAACATCGTGAAATGTTTTTTCACATCTCAAAAAGTGTCAATGCTAAAACTTCCCAGTTTCTCAAAATTAGGAATCAATGAAACAGGAATTGGCATCTCTGCACTCAGAACATTCCTATACTTGCTCCGTCTCCTTCCACAGTAGCCAAAGAAAAGTCGACATGCTTAACAGTACCAGTTGCAGTCTGATTAGTCTGCCTATGTTTCCCCTATCTCAATGTTTAATAGCTTCCAGAACCTCTACTCACCACCCCCCCCTTTTTTTTCCCATGGGCAGCAGCAAATCTATCAACATGCTTATTACCCGACACACCAAAATATAATGCACCATCAAAACAACCCTAAATATTCAGAAACTTTCACCTTCTCAACATCCTCAACTGCTCCAACCTCCCACCATCAAAACACCACTAAATGTTCCAAAACTTTCACCTTCTCAACATCCTTAACTGCCCCAACCTCCCACCATCAAAACACCACTAAATATACCAAAACTTTCACCTTCTCAACATTCTCAACTGCCCCAACCTCCTACCATCAAAACACCACTAAATATTCCAAAACTCTCACCTTCTCAACATCCTCAACTGCCCCAACCTCCCACCATCAAAACACCACTAAATATTCCAAAACTTTCACCTTCTCAACATCCTCAACTGCCCCAACCTCCTACCATCAAAACACCACTAAATGTTCCAAAACTCTCACCTTCTCAACTGTCCGAACCTTCCACCATCAAAACACCACTAAATGTTCCAAAACTCTCACCTTCTCAAAATTATCAACTGTCCCAACCTCCCACCATCAAAACACACTAAATGTTCCAAAACTCTCACCTTGTTCAAAATCCTCAACTGCCCCAACCTCCCACCATCAAAACACCACTAAATGTTCCAAAACTCTCACCTTCTCAA